GTGAGCAACTGGGCTTCCTGGTGGAGCAGACCCCACAATTACCATTTCTTCTCTCATCCTCCCCACCCCACCCAGTGCCCCTGAGAGCCCACCTGTCCCCCAGCCCCCCACTGGGCAGGCCAGGCTGGCGTAAGTACAGAGGCCAGCCTGCCGGGCCTGCCATGTGCTCAGGGCTTCGGCATTGCTTCTCCAGTGGGGTTCCACTTGCCTGCTGCAGCCAGAGCTTGGGGACTCTCGGGCCCCTTCTCTCCCAGACTTCTGCCTCCTCGGTCACCTGAGGACTAAGCATTGGGATTAGGTCATATGGTCCCTGTGCTTCCATAGTGATACCTTGAGGTCATATGGTCCCTGTGCTTCCATAGTGATACCTTGATCGCTTTGACCAGAGATTGAGGACGTGGACTCCCAACCTGGAGCCCATTCTCCCAGGCAGAGGCCAGGAGGAGGGCAGGGAGGGGAATTAGGGTGCTGTGAGTGTGGAGGTAGAGGAACAACCTAGGGTTAAGGTAAGGGCCTGGACTGAGGGCCAATGGAGGCTAGAGGGGCCCAGAAGGAGACATTGGATCAACATAAACTGAGTGTCTGTCTCTACCGGGCCCCTTTCTGGCCATAGGTCAGAGTTCTCAGAAGCTGCAGAAATGCCAAGGGAAGGATGTGCCCATTGGCACAGCCATCCCCTTCCCCTGCTCTAAGAGCCCTTGTCTAGAATCAGGACAATTAACATGAATAGCAAGGTTGCAAGTTAGACATTAAGTAGAACTTCTGTTGACCTAGGAATGCTGGGTTGGAAGTGACCCTCCCCAGATGTGGGGGATTGAACAGGGGCTGGTCTTGGGGGGTCGGATCCTGGGTCTGCTCGGCGCATGGTCTGTTCCTGTGTGTCTGTGTGTGCCTGCAATTAGGGGCAGTGCCCAGGGGACCAGCATGTGCACCACCCTGGGCTGGGGTGTGCCAGACACCCTCGCTGACATGTGCCTCCCCCCAGAGCCCGGTTCCTGGAGAATGTGGCAGCCGCAGAAACAGAGAAGCAGGCTGCACTGGCCCAGGGCCGGGCAGAGACATTGGCTGGGGCAGTGCCCGATGAGGCTGATGGACACCCAGGTGAGTGGGTGGGTAGGCAGACTCTACCCATGCCTCCTTGTTGCTCCACAGAGGGCATGACGCTGGCAGCTGCTTCTCTTTTTTTAGATGCCCGGGAACTGTGGAGTACCCCTGAACCGGCCCTCGTTCCTGCACCCAGAACACCCCACAGCCCTGCCCCCCGAGTCCTGCTCAGGTCCCAGAGGAGCCTTGAACCAGAGCCCAAGGAGCCATTGGCCCCACCAAGCCCCAAGGCTGAGCCCACCCAGGAGTTCCCTATCCATGTACCCAGGCTCTGCATTGGGGACCTGGACTTCTCAGATCTGAGGGAGGACGAAGACCAGGACATACTGAACACAGAGACTGTGGAGGCTGGGAAAGGGGTCCCACCCCCACCACCCCCACTTCCCTTGCTCTCTGAAGGCCCCCCACCTCCACCACCCCCACCACCACCACCCCTCAAAGGCCCCTTCCCACCGCCTCCACCGCCAGTTGCCCCTCTGCCGCCATCAGCGCCTGACGGCCTAGCCCTCCCCACCAAGAGGAAGACAGTCAAACTCTTCTGGCGGGAGCTAAAGCTGGCCGGGGGCCCTGGGAGCGCTGGGAGCCGCTTTGGGCCCTGCTCCACCCTGTGGGCCTCCCTGGAGCCCGTCTCTGTGGACACAGCCCGGCTGGAACACCTGTTTGAGTCCCGTGCCAAGGACGTGTTACCTTCCAAGGTAAACGCACCCTCAACTGTAAGGTAACCCCAGTGGACAAGGAAAGGAATCAAAGCTCAAAGGTCCTAACTACTGGGGCTGCCGCTCATTTCCCACGTGGGGAAAGCGAGGCAGAGAGAGGAGCGGGGACTTGTCTGAGGTCTCCACAGGGATCAGCAGAGCCTTAACTGGCACCTAAGCTCATCCCAAGGCCTTAAACATCCCAGGTCCATCCCCAGGTATGGGGTGATCCCACCATTTGGAGGGGTGCCTTGAAGTGTCCTCTTAGGTTGTTGCCCCAGCTAGTCCCTTTCCCAAACTTACACTCTTCTTCCCTCAACCTCAAAGAAAGCTGGTGAGGGCCGCCGGACAATGACCGTCGTGCTGGACCCCAAGCGCAGCAACGCCATCAACATCGGTCTAACCACCCTGCCGCCTGTGCATGTCATTAAGGCTGCCCTGGTCAACTTCGATGAGTTTGCCGTCAGCAAGGATGGCATTGAGGTAGGGATAGCCAGCTGGGGGTGTGGAAAGGAGTGGGAGGTCCAGCCCTCTCCTTTGGTCAGTGGGCATGGGCTTGGCATAGCAGTCCCCAGACCCTGGGGCTCCCCCAGGTAGCCTACGGAGAGTCAAGACCAACACCTGAGGCCTCAGGCCAGCACTTACTGGCCCGTGTGGGGTGGTGGCTGTGTCCTTAGAAACTACTGACCATGATGCCCACGGAAGAAGAGCGGCAGAAGATCGAGGAGGCCCAACTGGCCAATCCTGACATACCTTTGGGCCCAGCTGAGACCTTCCTGATGACTCTTGCCTCCATCGGGGGCCTGGCTGCCCGCCTACAACTCTGGGCCTTCAAGCTGGACTATGACAGCATGGAACGGGTACCTGGGGTCATGGGTGGGACAGGCAGTGGGGGCAGATGAGTATGACGACCATATAATCTGAGTCCCCTGGTCTCCCCCACCAGGAAATCGCAGAGCCACTGTTTGACCTGAAGGTGGGCATGGAGCAGCTGGTGCATAACGCCACCTTTCGCTGCATCCTGGCCACCCTTCTGGCTGTGGGCAACTTCCTCAATGGCTCCCAGGTGAGTGACAGCACACGAGGGCTGGGGGCCGGGCTCTGGAGCTCGCCAGGCCCGGGCTCAGACGAAGTCCTTTCAGAGCAGTGGCTTTGAGCTGAGCTACCTGGAGAAGGTGTCAGAGGTGAAGGACACGGTGCGCAGGCAGTCGCTGCTGCACCATCTCTGCTCCTTGGTGCTCCAGATGCGGCCCGATTCCTCCGACCTCTACTCGGAAATCCCCGCCCTGACCCGCTGTGCCAAGGTCAGCACCAGCCAGGGGCTTGAATAAAACTGGCCAGGGCATGAGGGAGTGCTGCTTCCTGGGGCTGGCTTCTCCCCTCCTATTTCAACGGCTGTGCCAAGGCTGGCTGGGCTACAGATGTTTGTGCCAGAAATGCTTCCCTCTATTGGCCTGGCTATACCTGCTCAGTCTTTGGGACTCAGTTTAACTGCCGCTTCCCCAAGAAACCTTCTCTGTTCCCCATTGGACCAAATGAACTTGTCGGTGTCCTGTGGTAGACCATGAACTTTTGGAGGGCCAAGGTTGGATCTCATCTGTGTTCCTCTGGCCTGGCTCACCAGCCTGGCACAGAGGCAGCCTCAGGCCAGTACCTTCTCGTGGGGGGTCAGACTGTGTACCCCCCCTGCTTTTCCAGGTGGACTTTGAACAGCTGGCTGAGAACCTGGGACAGCTGGAGCATCGGAGCCGTGCAGCTGAGGAGAGTCTGCGGAGCTTGGCCAAGCACGAGCTGGCTCCAGCCCTGCGTGCCCGCCTCACCCACTTCCTGGCCCACTGTTCCCGACGTGTTAACATGCTGCGAGTGGTGCACCGCCGTGTCTGCAACAGGTGGGATTGTGGGCCTGAGGCGGGACCGCCACCCTGTCCCTCGCCCCCAAGGAGGACTCACCATCCCTTCCTATCCTGACATGCCTAGGTTCCACGCCTTCCTGCTGTACCTGGGGTACAGCGCACAGGCAGCCCGGGAAGTACGCATCATGCAGTTCTGCCACACGCTGCGGGAGTTTTCACTGGAGTACCGGACTTGCCGAGACCGGGTGCTCCAACAGCAGCAGAAGCGGGCCACGTACCGTGAGCGCAACAAGACCCGGGGACGCATGATCACCGAGGTGCGTGCCCCTCCCAGGTCTGGACTGCCACTCCCATGGTTTCCTCCCCTGGCTCCCAGCTCATCATTCTCCCCTCTCCAGACAGAGAAGTTCTCAGGAGTGGCTGGGGAAGCCCCCAGCAACCTGTCTGTCCCAGTGGCTGTGGGCAGTGGGCCGGGCCAGGGGGATGCAGACAGTCACGCCAGCATGAAGAGTCTGCTGACCAGTAAGCCTGAAGACACCACGCACAGCCGCCGCAGCAGAGGTGGGACCTGCGGCCGCCAGGGGGGACGGGCTTTGCTTTGGGGCCTCCTCGGCCTGACCTCCCTCTCTGGCCTCCCTCAGGCCTGGTCCAGAGCAGCTCCCCAGTGCCCACAGCAGTGAGGGCCTCCAATGCACCCCCAGAAGAATCCCCAGGCTCCGGTTCACCCAGTGACACTTCGGATGAGATCATGGACCTGCTGGTGCAGTCAGTGACCAAGAGCAATCCTCGGGCCTTGGCTGCTCGGGAACGCAAGCGTTCCCGTGGCAACCGCAAATCTTGTGAGTACTCCCCACGTACCCACTGCCCGCTTTGTCCCCAGCAATCAACCCCCTCCAACCCTGCTCTGTCCCTGCAGTGAGGCGGACATTGAAGAGCGGACTTGGAGAAGACCTGGTGCAGGCACTGGGACTGAGCAAGGGACCTGGCCTGGAGGTGTGAAGCCGCTACCTCCCTGGGCCACAGCTTGCATGCAAAAGACTATATAAAGTGAGGAGGGGCCAGAGCAGAAGTCTGGGCTTCTTCTCAACCCTGAGGTCACTCTGTACCCAGTGGCCAGTGCCTTGAGCAGTATTATCCATGTTTGTGTGTGTGTGTATCTGTGTGTGTGTGTGTGTGTGTGTGTGTGTATGAGCTCCCAGAACACGTGGAGCATAATAAAGTTTTCTTAGCCAACCCAAGAGCCTTTTTCTTTCAAGGTATAGACCACGCTTTCAAGGTCTACAGCAGTAGGGAAATACCAAAGTATTGGTTCTTCCCGCCTCAGGCCTCATCATCACACAGCATTAGCCACATTCTAAGCCATTTATTCAACAATCCTATGCCTTACACTGCTTTGGGCCCCTGGACTAGGCCCTCGTTACTCCTAGCATGGGGCCATGCAGCCTGAGAAGAGCCACCCAGGGCCCAGCAACCAGCAGTCACAATGTCAGCGGCTATAATCGCTTCATCTGCCGCCGTTCCTGCCGGCGCTGCCTTTTCTCATTGTGCTCCGGCGCTGGGGCACCACTGTCTGCCGTGAACCAGGGGCCCAGCACATTCACCCACAGGAGGTAAAGGGCCCGTCCCGGAGCCTAGGAGAGAAAAGGTAACTTGAAGCCAGGTTCAGGAAATAAAAGAAGAGATGGGTGAGATGCCCCAGCCCCTTTCTCGGGAGTCCAACAACCCACGCACCAGGAGCCAGAAGGACCAGATGTAGAGGGAAAAGCAGCTGAGCACCTGCACAATGGCTGTCAGTAGGATCACATCCTTAAGGTGCCTGTGGATAGAAGGGAGACTGCAGGGGCCAAAAATAGTCGATGGGCCCCCATTCACCTCCCGCCCCTTCAAGTTGCAGGCAGCTGTGGGTCTTGGGCTATCTGGGCCCCAGCACCACAGCCCTGGGGCCGCTCACCTGAGCTGGCGGCGGGGGACACTCACTCTGCCATGCCCTGCTCCATGTTGAGGTCCATTCCACCATCCATCAGGGCCCCATCCTCAGAGAAGGCCGCCCGTGCCATGGAGCTCATTGAGTGGTAGCTGGCCCCATATACTGCCAAGCTAAAGACCAGGGCCATCTGCAGAACAGGGGTGGAAGTATCAAAGGCCAGCCATTAACCCCATGTGCTTACCCACTCCCCAGGATGGGGAACACTTACCCAGGCCCAAAACGAGGCAGATGAGTAGAAGAAGACCAACGTCACAAGACAGTAAATGGCCTGCAAGCAGACACAGGATCAGGCTGGGATCAAAGCTACCCTAAACCACGGACCTCCCTTGACTCTGACCAAGCGCTAGGCCAGGCTGTGGAAGAAGACAGGTTGTTTCTGACAGGGTTGGGGAAAAAGAGGTCTGCTTCCCGTCCTGAATACCCAGACTACTCTCTGACACACCAGCCTAGGAAAGAAGCCTCTGTATTCAGGGTAAAGGCTCTGGAGTCCATCTCATTCTGTTGTTTAGACTACTCAACAACTTCCTCTGTACAGGATCTATCTACTTATTTCTTTATTTTGGGGATTTTTTTCTAAAGCAGTGACTCACATACCACCGCCACTGCCGCCACAGCCTCCACTACACAAAACTGAGGACTCTGGGACCTTGGCTAAGCACAGAAATAGGAGCCAGGCACTTACATTGGCCCCCAGTATGATCCGCAGGTAGAACTTCAGGGTCTCTCTGTTCTCTTCAAATATCTGCTTCTTCCCTCTTGTCCCCACTTTGCCCTTGGGCTGCAGAAGAATGAGGCGATGCTTGTCAGAGCCCTCCTCAGCAGGGTCCTCCTCACCCGCCCCACCAGTCTGGTTAGCTACAGAGCTCCAGTTGCACCTCATCCGGTTCCCGTTGGTGCTCAAACCTAGTACAATACTTGGAATGTCTCTCTACCCCCTCCTCCAGGCAATCCTGCTTAGGGCTGAAACCATCTTTTCCAACAACCTCAGCCATGGTCGCCTGCACACCCTGGGACAATGCAACACTAGACGGGATATTGCCTGGCTTCCCTGGCAAGGTGCAGCGTCGTGGGCTGATGACCCCGGCAAGGGGAATTCCTGAGTGGCGTTGGATAGGGCCCCTCTCCAGCCTCCGCTGGAGTTAGGCACGATCTCGGCTGACACCCACACCCTCCTGGCCCAATTTTTAGCCAATTCTGGTACTATGTGACACTGACGCCCACCCCCGCCCCGGCACCAGGTCTGGTACGGTCCAGCGCTGCTCCCTTCCACCCCCCGTGCATCTAGTATGGCCCGGCGCCTCCCTCCGGCCGACCCGCTTCTCTTGCGGTCCTTCCTCTGTTTTCAGTCTCCCAGACCTGGAGGCGCTTTGCCGATGCGGACCCCGCCCTACCCGCTCTCCTTACCGCCATGGCGCGACGCAAGCACCCCGCCGGGGAAACAAGGAATAGCGAATGAAACCGCAGTCCCCGAGTACCACATCGGCAGCACAGGCACTTCCGGTGCAGACCCAAATCGTCACATCTGGGACGGAAGTGAGTGGGCCACTTCCTTTCCTGGTCCCGCCCTCCCAGGAGGGGAGTCCGTGAGACTACACTTCCCAGATGCCTTTGCGCGGGGGCAGAGGCGGCAGGGATGCGATGGCGGAGGCGCTGCCCCCAGAGGTGAGAGGAGGCTGCCCTCAGGTCCAGCTCGGGCCAGGCCCCGCCCTCAGGGTCCCGGGCTGTGGGGAGGGGCTGTCAGAGTCCCGCTAGCCAGGCGGAAATGACCCTTGCGGCAGATCAGAGGACTTGCAAGCTATGGGTAACGGCCCCACCGTTAGGCTACTCCGTCCCCTTAAGTTGGGGGACGTCCTCTTCTTCCCCAGCAGCGGCCCCAGGAGATGGCTGTTCTGTCACCTCAGAGAGAACAGGGCCTCTGCCTACCCACCTTCTCTTGACATGGCCGCCCCTCCCCCTCAGTAGTGGACGGTCTCTGCTCCATCCCATCGTCCCCAAAGGGTAACTGATTTTATGCGATTGGTGCCTAAGGATGATCGGTTCATCCCCTCCACCCCGAGAGATGGCTGTCCCCTACCACTGGCGGGGGGGAGACTGCCTTTCCCATCAACTCCGGGCAGGGTCGCTGAGTTCTGTCCCCAAAGACCGGCCTGCTCGCCCTTCTCTCCGCCTCCAGTGATGGCCGCCCCTACCTCCTTGACCCCAGGGGAAGTTTGCCCCTCCTCCTTAGCCTGAAGCAAGACCTCTCCGCCGCCTTTATTGAGAGCAGGTAACAGGTTTTGTCCCCAAGGCACTCTTGGAGGACTCTTCCATCCTTTTTGCCCTCAGAGTTGGCCGCCCTTTCCATGCCTCCGGGAGACCAGACACCTTTTCCACATCAGCCCTGGGATGGCTCTCCTTCCCCTTAGCAAAAATAGGACTGCTCCCACCCCACTAGCCCCCCTGCCATGGCATCTTCTCTCCCCTTGGCCCCAGAGGTTATCTACTTCATCCACATAGATCCCAGGAACAACCAGTCATCTCTGGTAGCCTCTCGGAATGGGGTTCATGGGTCGGCCACCCATCCTTATCACTGACTGCTCAGGTCTCTCCCCTTCCCAGCTCAAAGAATCCCCTCAGTGATGACAGCTGCTTTGCCCTCTACTATTCATTGATCCTCAAGTAGGCGGCTGAGCCTCTGAAGATGGAATGGCCGCTATCTTATCTCAGTTCAGAGATAAGATATCTGCCTCCCCTGGGGATTGGAGGCTTGGTCATTCCCAGCTATCGCTTCCCTATGTCTAGCCTCCTCCCCAGTCATTCTCTCAATAATTGACCTGCTTTATCTCCCCACCCTGAGCAAACCTTTGGTGAAAATAGAGATAGAGGACTATCCATCCTTAATTCAATCCAGTGAGTACTGGCTGAGCACCTTCTGTGGGCTAGGGTTGAGAGGAGATCAGAATGGGCTGATGAGGTCAAGCTTAAGGAAGGGCATTCTAGGAAAGAGGCTCACATAGGCAAAGGAAATAGACGTGCTGTGTTTGTAGGACGGTGGGGAGACTGGATTGGGGAAGCTCTGGGATCAGGGATCAAGTTGGGCATGGAGGCCTGGCAGTGCTGGCCCAAGAGTGGAGATTGTGTTGTGAGGGTACTGGATACCCTAGAAGTTTTCATCAGGGGTGTGCTGAGACCAAAAGCTGTTTTTGGAAAATTAACCTTGCTGCAGTGTGCAGAATGATTAGTAAGAATGAGCCTGGAGGCAGGAGAGTCCGTTGGAAGACTGTAAAAGGAATCCAGGTTTAGAAAGATGAAAATCTAGGCTACTAAGTAAAGTTTCAAATGTAAAAATATTAGTAACAGCAATCCAACAACCATTTATGGAACACCTACTAGGTGTCAAGCACATCATATCTAATATAATGGTATCTTAATCCCCATGAGACTGACATATGTTTTCTAATATCCCCATTCTAGGAAGTAGTGGAATTGGGGTTTAAATGAATCTAAGTTAGCCTGGCCTAAAGCCTATGCTTGACATCTGTGTCTGAGAGCAAGAGACAGAAGAGCATGACAAGTTCAAAGTATTATCAAGACCTTCAGAGGAGATGCACTGTTGGCAGGGAAGCTCAGGTGCTGGAAAGTTGGGAGATGGGACTGCTGTGGACTGAGGGCAGAATATGAATTCTGGCTGAGATGAAGCTGATAGTAAAAATATTTGGGTGGAGGCTTCTGTGGACAGTTGGCGACACTGGAATAAGATAACATGAGGATATTGAATTGTTGGTTATTCCTGTAGAGGTAACTGTGGAAGTCATGCAAATGTTTATTCTAGAAAGTAAACAGATGGAAAGACCCTGGGAACCACTGACGATCCAGAGACAGGGCAATTGGAGTGGTGAGTGGAGCCCTAGAGAACAGTGTCATAGGAGTCAAGGAAGAAGAGTTAACATTAGATCATTCCTGGCCTTACAGCTGACTCCCTTTACAGTTCCCTATAATAGGGCTTCCAGCCTCCCCCACCCCTCCCGCCAGCCTCCCCCACCCCTCCCGCCAGCCTCATAGACCAGTGAAGGCCTGAGCTTCCTGCACTGGGTCTTGCTGGGATCATTTCTTAGCAGCTGAGAAGGCAAGTTGGCAGTGGGGAAGATGGGGAAAGAGTGGGTTCCCAAAGCCTGATCTATGAGGGTAGGAGGAAGACGTATACCTTCTTATTGTAGAAATCAGAAGAGCACCTGGCTTGCTATGTTATAGATCCTATGCAAGATATGTTATTTAATTCTCACAATATATATTAAATCTTATACAACTGCCGTTTTGCAGATAAGAACAACAAGGCTCAGAGAGGTCAGTGGATAAAGGATTTGAATTAGGTTGATCTGGTTCCAGTGCCCAGGCTCTTATGACCGAACTGAGCAGGAAGTTTGATTTTTATCAGTCTGTACAATCCTGAATCCAGACAAAATAAAGGTTCATTCACAGCAAAGATACTTGGGAGGTGCAGATGGGACATGAGGACTCTGTGAAGCTTAGGGTTCAACATGAAGTAGAAGCCAGTGATCTAGTGCCCTCAGCCCTGCTGTGCCATCAGCCAAAGAAAGTTCCCCAGGCGCCAGCTCTAACAGCCCCCAATGCCCTCTCTTCTTCCCTCAGATGCTCACATATATTCTGAGCTTCCTGCCTCTGCCAGATCAGAAAGAGGCCTCCCTCGTGAGTCGGGCTTGGTACTATGCAGCCCAGAATGCCCTTCGGGAGGTAAGGTGCCTGCCCTCACCTGGCCCTTTCTCAGTTGTCTCTCACATCAGCTTGTTCATGGCCCTACTCATACATCGTCCATCCATTTATTCATCATACATATTCACATATACGTTATGTTCATACATACTTGGCTCTGGGACTATACAGATGAATAAGGCATAGCCCGTCCCCCAAGGAGCCCATAGTCCAGTGGACAGAAAGACAAGTGATCATAATATTCTGTGCTCAGTGCTGTGACATTGGAATGAAGGGTGCACCGGAAACATGAGGAAGGACACCCAAAGGAGACAGCAGCATCAGGGAGGAATAGGATGAGGATGAAGGTTGGGCTATCCAGGACTGGTAGCTACACAGGTGAAGGCACCAAGATGTGAAATAGTTCTGAAAACAACCACACAAGTTCCCAATGGCTGGAGCGTAGATGTGTGTAGGACAAGTGGTAGGCGATAAGGTTAGAAAGGGGTCAGACTACAAGCTGGTAGATATGCCAGGTGGCATTGCTGGGGTTTTCTCCTGGTTACCATCCTGGAGCCTTTAAAGAAATGTTAAGGCTGCGGAGTGACACAGGGTGATTTGTGTCTTAGAATTCTGCAGTGCAGAGTGGGCTGGAGAGGGGGAGGCAGAGTATAAGGAGACAGCCCAGCTTGGAGGTGAATGCAGACATCTGTCCGAGATTGAAAGGCAAGCAATGGTAACTCCTTGTTTTAATTTTTACTTATTACTGAGGTTTGAGTAGTTTTCTCATTAGTTGACCATATATATTTTCCTCTTTTGTTTATTCATGTTCTTTATCCATTTAACTCTTGGGGGTCTCAGTATTCTTATCTATTTGTATAAAAATTTTTATATGTTAAAGAGATTAATCTTTTACATATTTATTGAAATATATTTCTAGTATGTTTACCTTTTCATTTGATTTGTACATATGTGTTTGTTTATGAGATACAGAGATTAAATTTCTTTGTTGTTGATTTTGCACAGCCTTTTTTCTATTTCTTCCATTGCTTTTTTATTTTAATGTGTTTTTATTGATTTTTATAGAGAGAGAGAGGGAAGGAGAGGAGAAAAAGAGAGAGTAACATTGATCTGTTGCCTCCTGTTAAACCCACAACCTGGGTACGTGCCCTGACTGGGAATAGAATCAGCAACCTTTGGTGCATGAAACAATGCTCAACCAACTGAGCCACACCGGTGGCTCCTCCATTGCTTTTTTAACTAGGGATCCCTTGCCTCTTCAGAGATTTGATAAATATACACTCATGTTTTCTTGGTTTTTTTTTTATTAGACTTTACCTTTGCTCACCGCAAAATTGCTTCTTCTGTTTTTACAGTGTGAGTCTTTATATTGTTTGTATCAGTGAAATTATTTTGATTGATGCTATGAGATAGTAACTAAACTGACTTGTTTTCAATTAGCCCAAATACCACTTATGTATAATCTTCCCTTCCCCTTCCCTGCTGGATTAGAATCCCCATTTGTCACAGATTAAAAGTGGAGGGCCTGTTGTTGCTGTCTGAAGGAATTTGACTTGGACCTGTTTAAAACTTGAAGTAAGACATCTGGATGGTAAAATCTAGTTGGTAGTTGGATTTCCAGGCAGGATGATAAGGAGATAGTGCCCCAGCTGGTAGGTGCTATGGAAGGTTCTGGCTCACCAGGCCAGGCTAGGATGCTGGTCTCGGTGGCTTTTTATTCTCCCTGACCTGCCCCATTCACTCCCAATGTTTCTCAAATAAGAAAGTAGACAAAGCAGCACCCCCACGTACACCCAGGCTCTGCCTGTTCCCAGCGGTGGGGGCTGTGGGCTGGTTGCCTGCTGCTGGGTTGGTCACTATGAAGAACTTAAAACATCTCAGCTTCTGCCCTCCTCTGCCTTCACCTGGAGATCTACTCCTCTCTAATCACCAAAGCCCCTGAGTTCCAGGGCCTGTTTCCTCCAAGGCCTTCTAGAGAACAGGTGTGTTCGCTTTGGATTTCTGTACCGGCAGACAGAGGGCCATTTCTCAATCAGGTGGCTCTCCAAGTCTGCACACACAGGCCTGGAGCCTCCCCTCGGGCTTCAGTAGCTACAACACAATCCTGGCCTCTCACAGTCAAAGGACATGTGTCACTTTTAGCAGGTGTAGGGCATTTCCCAAAGGACTTTGCATTTACTCTGAAGACACCAGCATTGGGAAAGGAAGAGACCAAGTGCTAGTTGGCCTCTGGGGCTAGGGCGACTAAATCTGGAGTTGGTACCCTTGCAGTCCTCTCTTGAGCCTCCAGAAGCATCTTCCTAGGGCCTGGGAGGGGGCTTTGCTATACCGGGACCAAATACAAGGACCCAGGAGCCTGCTGCTCTGCCCCCCACAGGTGACACATATCCCTTAAAGGCTGCTCCTGAGCACCTGCACTTGGAGTCCAGGCTAGACCACCAGGTGATGACTTAGAGGCCGCCCCCTCCCCACCAAGAAAAATGGTGGAGAGCAGGGAGGCGGGTGAGCTGGAAGTCCCTTAGGCCAGGCCCTGCCCGCTTATCCAGAGGCTTTCACTGTTACCAGTCCTGAACTTGGACCCCGGGCTGACTGCCAGGGCCTTCCTTCACTGTTTGGCTACCTTGTTTATAGGGAACCAGTGGGAGAGAGGAGAACATTCCACCCCTCACCCCCACCCCCACTGCCTTACCCCACCCCACACACACCCCACACGCCCGGGCTCAGGAAGGAAGGGAAAGAAGGAAGACTGAAGGCAGAAGGAGCCTGGGCCTGTGGGGGCGGCTGAGGGGGCGGGTGCTGCCTGGGTAACCAGCAGGCTCTGCACTCCCCCAGCCATGGTTCACTCCATGCTTCATCAGACTGGCTCATCTGGCGTGCAGAGCGTGGAAATGACTGGAGGCCTGCTGTACCTTCCCTTTCCAAACCTTTCCTCCCACCCTCACACTGGGATGCTCCCCAGCTCTCCTGAAATCTGAGAGAGGGACCCAGGTCCCTGGGAGTCTCCACTGCCCCCCTGTGTCCCGGTGTCCATGAGGGGATGTGGGGAGCGCTCCTCTCACACATAATGACCTCGCTCAGAATGGGGTGTGGAAAGGGAACCTGGTTTGACCCCTCCCCCCCCAATCCCTGCGGAAGCAGCCAGGAGCGGATCCCATCACTTACCAGCCACTCCTCCCCAGGATGACACCTCAGTAGCCATAGATGACTGCTTCTCTCTGGCGGAAGTCAGGCTGGTTTCTCCGCACCTGGGGCTGAGTTCCATGTGTCTTCCTGGGAGGATCCTGTGGACAGATATCTTACAGGAGTGGACATTGTGTGCCATGTCTACCTGTCTGCTCTCTTTGGGCACCACAGATGTGTGTTCTTACAGTTGCTGACAGGGCAGTTTTCCAGGGAGCTTGCTTTCCTGCATCAGGATCATGCTGCTACATTAAGACAAGAGCCTCTTTGAGTACCACTTGCCTGCAATCTGGGCATCCTCAGGGTAGAGGAGCAGGGCTAGGATTTTAGAAGCCAAACCCTCTCCTCCCTCCTGCCACAGACCTGTTCCACAAAGACCTGTACCCACTGCATTTTAGCTCCCTCTGGCACAAGGTCAGGGGAGATTTTGGGAAACATCTCATTAGCTGGGGGCTCCCCAAACTCCTACACAAGCCAGTTTATTCCCACAATGACTTAGCCCTGAGCTGGCCTCCTGCCTCCCCCGCTTCAGCTGTCTGCTCCCCACTCTTGCTCACCTGTTCCTCCAAGGCAGGGCCAGCTCAACTTCCCCAGCCCCTGCGATTCATTCATTCATTTCAGAGAGGAGGAGAGGGGCAGAGGGAGATAGAAACATCCATGAAGAGAAAGTCTCATTGATTGGCTGCCTCTTGCCCATCTCACACTGGGGTCCAAGCCAGCAACCAGAGCATGGTTGCTGACTGGGAATTCATAGGTTGATGCTCAACCACTGAGCCACACCAGCAACGATTCATTCTCTTGGTTCCTGCCCCCAGAAATGGAGGCTCTCCTTCCTTACCTGGATAAGACAGGCCCTCCAGAGAAGATCCTCGGGAATCACAAGCACTCTCAAACTCTGGAGCCTGTGGAGCTCACACGAGTTAGTGTGTGCACATACACACAGGCATGCATGCACACATTTCACTTACACACAAAACCCGTTTTTGCAAACATGTGGCTGAGACACTGAAGCCACCAGGGGGCCTCAGCCTCACTGCCTGTCCCAGATCTCTGGCATCTGGGCCACAGCGGGTTGTGGTGAGTGACACCTGCCTCGCTTCTTCCCGCCTTCAGCTGATCTGAGGGCTGTGTATATGCTCTTGAGAAAGGAGCAGAGGCTGGTTGCTTATTAGCTAATACCAACGGCTGAGTCCATGGGTCTCAGGGCCACCTGCAAGTCCCAAAGGTTGAGGTCCTCCTACTCCCTGGAGGCTTTTCTGGGCCTCCTCCAGGCCATGCCCTACCCCTCCTGTACCCTGCGTGCCAGCTCCCCACTCCTCACAGGACTCCACAGGCATCTAGACCCATCCATCACTCATCTCATGCCCTCCCCTTCGTCACCAATCCCCTTGGGCCCCGGTGTGTCTTATCCTCCCAGCTCCCACTTCCCACCAGCACCCCTCAACCACACATGACATTTCATACCACAGTAGGCCCCTGTGTAGAAGGGTCCTTCCCTGACCTGCCCTGAACCTCTAATCAGCAACTTGCCACCAGATCTAATGCCCAGCACGCCCTGAGGTCAGAGGGCTAACCCAAGTCTGCTGCTGCCCTTTAGATAAACGTGCGGTACAATATTCCTGTGTCCTCGGCCTCTCTCCCAATCATCAAGAGCCTGGGCCTCAGGGGCGCCTCCAGCATCAGCCTGACCAACCTGGATGGCTCCCCAGCTTCACACCAGGTGCTGCAGTCCATTGCCTACCACCTAGGCCCCCACCTGCAGAGCTTGAGTCTCAGTGGGGGCAGCCCCACCGAGGCCTCCTTTGTGGCCCTGATCCTGGGCTGTCCTGTCCTGCGTAGCCTTGACCTCAGCGGCTGCAACAGCCTCTTTGCGTCGGGCACACTGCTAGCTCAACCCGAAACAGCACGGCAGGCCCAGCAGGCACTGAGCGGCCTCCGCGAGCTCAACCTGGCTGGCCTGCGAGACCTGGCCGACCTCAGCTTCAACAGGCTAAGCAGCTGCGCCCCCAGCCTTGAGCGCCTCTCCTTGGCCTACTGTCACCTCACCTTCGAGCAAGGCCCAGCCTGGGGCTTCATCAACCCCCAGGACTCCTCCCCATCCCAGCTTTCCTTCCACAACCTGCTGCGATTCGTGGAGGAGCGGGCTGCTAGGCTGCGCGCCCTGGACCTGAGTGGCACTGGTTTGCCCCCTGATGCTCTGCAGGCCCTGGGCCAGGTGCCCGGGCTCCATCTGCAGGAGCTGAGCCTGCACAGCTGCCGGGACCTCTCCACAGAGGCTGTGGCTGTCCTTTGCTGCCAGCAACCAGGCCTTACCTCCCTGGACCTCAGCGGCTGCTCCGAATTGGCTGACAGGGCACTGCTGGCTGTGAGCCGGGGCCTGCGGCACCTGCAGCGCCTGAGCCTAAGGAAGCTGCAGCGCCTGACGGATGCCGGATGCACAGCCCTCGGGGGCCTGCGGGAGCTGAAGAGCCTGGACATGGCCGAGTGCTGCCTAGTGAGCGGGCGGGCATTGGCCCAGGCGCTGGGCTCAGTGCGCAGAGCTCCACCCCCACTGGCCTTTCTCAGCCTGGCCTACTGCTCCTCACTCAAGGTGAGCCACCTCCCCTTCCTCCCTCCCCAGGGCCAGGGCTGGAGAAGAGGAGGTGTGGCACAGGGGGAAACTGCCTGGTGTTTGGGTCCAAGTAGTTAGAACTGAACTTGGAACACATTCTGGAAGAGGAAAGGGGCCTAGACAACATCAGCACCCTCCTGGCAGCTGCCCCTGTGGGCTCGGGTAACGGGAGGCCCAGCCCATGAGGTGGCATCCACTGCGCATGCCAAGTGCTCAGTGACCACTACAGTGGGGAGCACTAAAAGCGGATGTTCCAGAGGCTAGGGAGGCTGGAGAAAGAGGTGACAGAACTGAGCCCCGTGGGGAGGGGCACCAAGGGAGGTAATGTGATGTGGGGGCAGCAGAGTCACTTTCTGTCTGAAGTCAGTCTCTTCAATAGGGCTCAGCCCTGTCGCCTTGGGCGGCATTCCTGTCTTGGCAATGGCAGTCTTCTTTAGTGGTGGGTTATTCCTTCAATCTAGCAATGTGACCAGGGTATTCCCAGCCTGAAAACTGCCTCTCAACCCTTTCCCCACAGCACCTCTCTTCCCCTGCCCCCCTCCATCTTCCTTTTTCCACTATCGTCTCTTAGCTGGACCCTGGAGCCTCACATTCTTGTGTCTCTACAAACCAGTTTATTCTACTCCGCCCTTAGCTCCCACTCCCCCCACCACGCCTGCTTCTGCCAGGTAGCAGCCTGTGCCCACTGTGACCTCACAGTTCTGCTTCAAAATCTAGAGGGAGCACTAATCCAATAAGCTGTGGTCAGCGGGCAGCCTCAGCCCACCCCTTCAGCAGGGACTGGGAGCACAGTCAGGGCAGAGACTTGAGACATTTCTACCAGCATCTCTCCTGCCCCTGCCAAGCTCTATCCTCCAGCAAACTCCTCCTGGTGTCCTAGCCCCATGGCTCCCTGTGTCCACTCCGACCTACACCAGCACAGGGACATCATGACCTCCCTCTGTGGGCCCCCTGCTAGCTCCTTATTGCCTGTCGGGCCAAAACCTTGGACAGAACCTTCTTAGTGACCCTTGCCAAGCATGGCAACATAGACACAAGCCATCGTTCCATTGTTTTCTCCCTTCTCCACTTTGCTCCTAGGACACCTCAGTGCTCTCCCTGATCCCCGCGCTGGGACCGAGTCTCAGAGTGCTAGATTTATCCTCTTGTGTGGCCCTCACCAACCGGACCCTGCAGGCCATCTGCACCTACCTCACTCCCCTCTCAGTCCTGCGCCTGGCCTGGTGCAAGGAGCTTCGTGACTGGGGGCTTCTGGGGCTAGGGGAGCCACCTGAGGAGCCAGCGCAGAAAGCCCAGGTGTGGGAACCTCAAGGTCATGAAGGGCAGGTGGTCCCTGGGCGGGTGGTCACCTGCCCTCCTGAGTGTCTCTCTAGGAGCAATTGAGGGCCAAACTCAGGAGGAACTGAGAAGCAGGGGCCTCTTCCCACAGCCACGCCGAGAGCTGGAGCAGCAGGCCTCAGACCCTGTGGACCCTTCTCCCCAGCCACAGGGCCCTTCCCTGCTCATGCTGCAGGCCCTGCAGGAGTTGGACCTCACAGCCTGCAGCAAGCTGACTGATGCCAGTTTGGCACAGGTGTGGGACTGAGGATGTGGATAGGCTGAGGGTCCGGGGCTGGAGCCAGGGGTCTGGGCCCACCACCCACTTTTTGCTTAGAAAATGTTCTTTATTGGCTTCTGCTGTGTATGGCCTCTCCTTTTGCTGGGGGTGGGGAAGAGCCTCCAGCCCTTGGCTCCAGTGTCATATACACCCCAGCCCCTCATCCTCCATCCTTGCAGGTGCTCCACTTCCCCCAGCTGAGACAGTTGTCACTGAGCCTGTTGCCAGCACTCACAGATAAGGGCCTGGTGGCTGCAGCCAGGGGCTGCCCTAGCCTGGAGCGCCTGGCGCTGAGTCACTGCAGCCTCCTCAGTGATGAGGGCTGGGCCCAGGCAGCCAGCTGCTGGCCGAGGCTGCAACACCTCAACCTGTCCAGCTGCAGTCGGCTCACAGAGCAGTGAGTGTTCCAGAATGCCAGTGCAGGGGCTGGGCTGGACTGGGCTGGGCTGGGCTGGGGCCCACCTCGGACCGGGCACTCACACAGGGGTCTTCCTGCAGAACACTGGATACCATTGGGCAGGCGTGCAAGCAGATCCAGAGGTTAGATGTCGCAATGTGCCCTGGTATTAGCATGGCTGCCGTCAGGCGATTCCAGGCCCAACTGCCCCAGGTGATCTGCATCCAGTCCCGCTTCGTGGGAGGGGCTGACCTGACCCTGACACTCTGAGGCCAGGTCAGTAAGCAGCCCGGTTGTTCGGACTCATGTCCCTAGCCCTGGCTTCTTGACCTGGAGTTTGAGTCGCTGCTTCCTGTTTCCCTCTGCTACAGACCCCAGGGCCCCTTCCCTAAGCTACAAACACCTTTGCAAGGACTGGAGGTGGTGCTGATCCAGGGCAGCCTGGGGTGCTTCCTACCCGTCTGCCCCACAGCCCGGCAGAGGCTGCCACAGGCCCCTGATCCCCTGGCCAGGCCCATAGGTGCCTGGGCCGGATGCTGGAGAGGAGCAGAGCCCCCTCTTGCCCTGCCTACTTCCATCGAAGGCCTGTGCCCTGCCTTGTTCCCTACACTAGTAGTTCCCAGTCTCCTACCCAGTATCTTCAGATAAAGATACCCAGCACTGAACTTTATCTTTGTTGTAAACGCAAACATTAAAAATTCCAGACTTTACCTCTTTATCTGAAGTCCTCAAACTAAAGGGCCCCTCCCCTCCCCACCTCAGTGGAAGCGGCCCTGCCCTGTCCAGGGACAATGGAGGAAACACCAACTTCCTCGGGTGTGGCCCAAAGCCCAGTAGGAGCCCCTAAGCAGGTCCCAGCTTCCCCACATGGCGGGAGCCTCCAAAAGCCTGGAGGCCTCTCCCAGCATGCCCCAGGCAGGTCCTGCAGCCAAGGCACATCTGTGTGCACTGGGCCCAGCCAGACCCCGGCAACATACTGGCTAAAGATGCCAGAGTCCATGAGGTGGGGAGGGGGGGTGAAGAAAGAGGATATCAAAGAGCCTCTCTGGGCAGGAAGAGTTCTTAGAGGCCATCTAGTCCACCCTCTTAAACAGTACCAGTGAATTCTCAACAGCAGCTCTCAGAAAGCCTGTCGGGCCCTCCAGATGTCCACCTGCACTTTGTCCATCAGTTGTAGGAGCAGCCACCTGGGCTGCCCGAGTGCCTGCTTTTTGTGGGGATTCAGAGGTGGTGAAGCTCTCCCAGCCTCCGGGGCAGTTGGAGAAGCAAATCAGCCAACAGGCAGGGTCAGCTGTGTGCAGGGTGTGCGCAAATAGAGCAACAGCACCTGGGACTGGACCCAGGGGAGTCATGAGATAAGCCTGGGAGGTCAAGGAGGTCAAGGAAGGACTCAAAGAAGAAAAAGTGAGCAGAGAGAAGGGGGCACTCAGGCTGAAGGGACTGGGTAGTGCACATGGCAGGCCAGAGCTGACACTGGGGTAGGGGGTGTCTAGGCCCCAACAGAGTGCAGGGAGGATGAGGGCACCAAGCACCAAGAACCCTGTGCAGGGCCTAAACCACATATCTTCAACCCATCTCAACTCTGCCCATCATGGTACCATGACCATCGCCCCCCTGGACAATAGGGAGATACTGACGAATACAGGATGGGGGTAGTGTGTGTGATCAGATCAGCTAGAACAGCTCAGGTAGCTGGTATTGAGAAGACTGGAGACAGAAAGCCAGGAGGTTCTTGTCAAGATGAAGGTGGCCTGCACAAGGGACTGGACCATGGACGAGGAGTACTGGGAGGCTTCACAGCACCTGGGATCCCCACCCCTACTTCCACCTGAACTAAACAGCAGACTGTTCCAAACGTGGTGGGAAGTCTCCGGGTGCCTGAGTCAGAAGCAGGGCTGGGGGAGGGGAAGCTCAGTACATTCTCCAAAGGAGATGTCATCTCATCACTTTTCAAGGCAGCATGTTGATGGTTAACACTGTTAAAAAGACATTTGAGGAGGTGCTGGGGAAGAGGTAGCAAGAAGAGTGGAAAAGGAGGTCAGTGGGTGGTGAAGCTTTCAGTCTATCCTGTGGGCAGGTGTGCTCCTCTTGGCCTCAGAGGCTTGAGGTCCCTGACAAGGGGCCTCTGAGCATGACCTCCAGCTGGGCCCAATCCCCCAGGAGGGTGGGGGTGGGCACTGGCCTTCCTGTGCCCATCCCCACCCTCCTGCAGTGGGTTTTCCTCAGAACCCAGGCTTCCTGCACTGAATTCCCTCTTGACAGAATATCCTCCCGCCACTGGAGATGTCTTCCAGAATCTTAAATCTGCCCTTCCACACAAGGCAGGCCCAGCTTCACACCTCCCCTTTCCTGCTCTCACCAGAGGGCCTGCAAGTCCCACCGCAGACACAAGGCAGCCAAACAAGGTTCAGGACTGAGCTCAGACTCTCGGAGGCCTCTGGAAACATGGCTCCCAATCAGACCCCTATCACTGCTGCCCAGGAAGGCGTCCACTTGGGCCGTGCCTCCTCCCTCACCTGGCCGGTAGCAGCAGCACTCTCTCAGTTGGTGCCTCCCAAACAGAGGCCATCCCTGCCTGCAGGCCCAGCACTGAGGGAGGCTGTGATGTGGCTGCCCAGATTTGTGGCCCCAAGCTGTGGCCCTGGCCTGATGCCCACATCTCCTGCACCAACCGAGTTCTAAGGCAGGCTTGGTTCACGGCTGGCTCGACACATACCCAGGAGCCAAGCAGACTTTATTCCTGCTGTAGCTCCTGCAGATCAGGGCGTCTGCACTGCTGCACATTTCACCCTTCACAGCCACCACGGTGGCAGCTGTTGTGGCCCTCGCCACCCTATCAAGGTTCCGTGATGCTGCAGTCATAGCAGAAGTTGAAGTTGGTGGGGGGCGGGGGGATCGGGGGTGGCTGCTCAGGGATGGGCACGTTCTCCAGCTCCAACAAGCGCAGCTTGGTCTCCATGGTCAGCAGCTGCTCCAAGTCCAGCCGTGTCTGCTCACTGCCCATGGGACCGCCCAGCAGGGTGCTCAGCCCATCCGTCCACAGGTAGAACTGGGGGCGAGGACGGCTCCATGAGGACCTGCCAGTCTCTTCCCCCTGCCCGCCTGCCCGATGCAGCTCAGCCTGCCCTCACACTCACCTCCTTTTTGGAGGGGGCGATGAAGTTGAGGTACGCCTCCTCCTCCCCGTGGTCATAGCTGACTGAGAAAGCTAGCTCATAGAGGTCCTGGGGAGGAAGGGGACCACGAGCACTGAGCAGGGGCAGGGCAGGGCAGGGCGAGTGGGAAGGAGCCCAGACTCCCCTGCCCTCACCTTGTTCTGCTTCACTGAGCCTTTCTCCCGGACGTGGGGGCAGTCCTTGCCGGTCAGTAGTGCCCTGAGGTCAGCCACTGGGACTGCGGGAAGAAGACTGGGCTGACCACCGGGGCCCCAGGCACCCTGGGGCATGGGGCGGTCTCGGGGAGCAGGTGTCCTGTCCCCATCCTGCACTCCTTACGCTGTTCTGGGAGGCTCTCGGCGGCAGGTGGGTTGGCACCGTCCTCCACGTCCCCGTACTGCAGCATTTTGTGATTGGGGGACAGGCAGCAGAACCACAGCTTGTCTGTGGGCAGCAAGGGAAAGAGGGAAGGAGTGAGCAGAGGGGCCCTAAGCCAGGCCAGACCCTCTCTGCCCGCTGCCCACTCAACAACCCTGGCGTCTCCGGCTGCTGATCTTGCGGAAGAGTGTGCCCTCGCAGAGACGGAGCAGACGCTGCTGGCGAATCAGGCCCATGAGCTCTGGCTTCAGCTTCTCCCGAAGCTCCCTGGGTTGGGGGAGGGGGTTTGCTGACCGAAACTGACCGGGGACGAGGCCCCTGGGGTCCCAGGGAAAGTGGGGGCTAGGACTGGGACCCATTCCCACCAACTCACAGTATGGGAGGGGCCAGTGTGCCCTCCTGATGCAGCCGCTCAGTCTGGCGCAGTCGCAGCACCTCCGCGTACGTGAGTGCGTTCACCTTGGTCCGGAAGAGCTCCAGGGAGCTGGGCTTCAGGGCCAGCGTGCGGGCCAGCTGCTCCCGGACCACTTGCATGACCTGGGGCCACCCAGGCTCAGTTCAGGGTCTGAGCTCTGGACCCCTACCCTGCATAGCCCTCTGCCCTGGCCCCGGGCTCCAGCTCCCGCCCACCCACCTTGTCAAAGTCCTCCTGTGTGGCCCGCATCTCCTTCCAGGTCTTATTCAGAAGCTGAATGCTCACACAGAAGAGCTCATGGAAGCTCTGGTCCTGGCTGAAGAACATGGGCGAAAAGTCCTGGGCCGTTTCGGAGCCTGGAGCAGGGGGGCAGGAGGGGCTCAGGGAGGAAGTATGTGAAGCCCCTGGCCCTCTCTGCCCTTCCGTCCCCCGTTCCCGGACACACTGACGCCCAACCCCACTCACAGGGCTCCCCGACACGGAGCAGCTCACACAGCAGCACAGTCAGCTGGATGCTGCTCCGGGCAAAGGGGCACTCGTGCTTGTCCTCACGACTACTGTTCTCCAACACAAACTGGGGTGGTGGGAGCAGACAAAGGGGCAGGGAGTCACAGCTAAGCCCACGGGGACCCATCAGAGGCAGGCATCCCGCTCTGCCCACACCCCAACACTGACCCGGCTGTAGGCACTGGGAGCGTGCTTGGAGAAGTAGAGCATGTTGTCCAGGGCCAGCAGGCCGGGGGGCACGCGCTCCAGGTCCTGTGCGGGGTTGCTGTTCTGGGGGAAGAGGACGGGTGACTGAGGACATAAACCGGTTTGTCCTCCGGAACAACGGCAGCCCTGGGTTGGGGCAGGGGCGGGGAGCTGCGTCAGGGTCACTCACGGTGAAGCCCAGTTTGCGGAACTCCCGGGCACAGAGGGAACGGCGCCGGTCAGCACTCAGGCCCCCGGCACTGGGGGACTCCCCTTCCAGCTCGAAGGCCGCCTGGCGCAGGGCCTGCAGCTGCTCCCGCTGCTCCTGAGGGTCGTTATTTGGGGGCGGTCACGATCACAGGTTCAAGGCACCCTCCGGCTGCCCCCAGCCTCTGTATCAGAAAGGCACCCACCTGGCTGTAGGGGTCCAGCGGTGTCCGCATGCGCTGCTCCAGCAACCCCAGGGCGAGGGACTGCAGCACGTACAGGTGGTGAGCCATCTCGTCGCCCAGGGGTGCTGCACTGTGGATGATGCTCTGGAGGACAGCGGGTCCATGGGTGTGGGCGTGGGCTCCCGGGGGGAGGGGGCGTGGGTGGGCCTGCCTGGCCCAGGGCTCCCTACCTTATAGATGAACTGGCGAAGGTTTCTCTGCCACAGGTAGTCCAGCATGTGCTAAGTGGGCAGGAAGGGGGCTTAGGTGACGTAACCTCACCGTCAGCACCCACCCTAGGCCCAAGGTGGAGCACAGCGCTCACCAGCTCCTGCCCCTCATCCATCCACCAGATGGACATCCACCAGATGGACACCCACCTTACGTTCAGCAGGGCTGGCCCCCTGCAGCAAGGCTGTCAGCAGTGCCATGGCTTTGGTTTGCAGCTGCTGATTCATCCTGGGACAAAAAGAGGGCACCATCGGCCATCCAGGATCGGGCCCCACGCCCTTCACCGGTGCCCCACCCCCGGACACTTACACCTGTATGTGTACCAGCAGCCTGTCCAGTGGCACCTCATTCTTGACCAGCTGACCCAGGGTAGGGCTGCTCAAGGTCACGCTCTCCAGCAGCCTGAGGGCCAGGGGCTGCACAGATGCGTCCATCAGGTTCATGTTCACATAGCGTATCACCTGTAAGAGGGGTAGGGGTTGTCAGCATGCATGGCCAGATCCTAACACCACCCCACTGCCCCTACCTGTTATCCCTAGAAAAGCCCATCCACCTTCTTTTAATATATAATATATATATATATATATATATATATATATATATATATATATATATTTCATTGACTTTTCATAGAGAGGAAGGGAGAGGGATAGAGAGCTAGAAACATCGACCAGCTGCCTCGTGCACACCCCCTACTAGGGATGTGCCTGAAACCAATGTACATGCCCTTGACCGGAATCGAACCTGGGACCCTTCAGTCCGCAGACCGACACTCTATCCTCTGAGCCAAACCAGTTTGCAGCCCACCCACCTTCTTTCTTTCTTTCTTTCTTTTTTTTTAAATATATATTTTATTGATTTTTTACAGAGAGGAAAAGAGAGGGATAGAGAGTTAGAAACATCATCAATCAGCTGCCTCTTGCACACCCCCTATTGGGGATGTGCCCGCAACCAAGGTACATGCCCTTGACGGGAATCGAACCCAGGACCTTTCAGTCCACAGGCTGATGCTCTATCCACTGAACCAAACCGGTTTCGGCTCACCCACCTTCTTAACAAAGGGGACACTGAGTGTCTCCCAGGACACCACGCCGTGCTCCATGAGCTCCAAGAAGACCTGCAGTGCGAGGGCCAGCTCCTCTCCTAGGCTGGGGAATATCTGGGGCTGAGCAGGGCCCGTCAGGACCCCAGCCCCCATGTCCACCACCCACCACAGCCCGATGCTCACTCATCCCCTTCCTCAATGATGGTGCCGAGCTTCTGAAGCCCCTCGCGGCTGATGACCTCCTGGGCAAAGGTCATGTCTGGAGCCAGCAGGACGAGATGCTGCAGCGCTTCCCGGCGCCCTTCACGACTCCCATTCCGCAGCACACCCAACAGCTGCTCAGCCTGGAGGTCCTGGCAGGGATAGGGGCGGAAGGGAAGGTGAGGAGGCTGGGTGGAGGTAAGAAGTGGGAACTGGAGGTGCGGAGACCGGGGTGTCCACTAGGTGGAGCACTGCAGGGATGTGAGTGGGGCCTCCGGACCTGGGGCAGGGAGAGGCACAGGGGAACAGAAGGAGGCACAACAGCCAGCGGGGCAGGGAATGAGGGCGGGACCAGGAGGGGCATTACTGGGGCGGTGCTGAGGCACAGGATGCTGCCGTTCTTGATCTCTGAGCGGTTCTGGAGAAGACAAAGGAGAGAAGAAGGACTCTCAGGATTGGTTAATTGGGGTTGTCAATGAGGGAGGATTTGGAACTCAATGAAAGATCCCTGAGGATGAGGGGTCTGAGGAATCGGGGTCAGGAATCGGGAGTTAGAAGGGGCTAAAGGGGAGAAGGGACTCACATTCTCTGTGATGTATCTCTTGTGCCCATCAGCAAACTGCAGGGCATAGCGTTCAGAGTGAGCCAGACTCCACCTGTGGGCGGACGAGGCTTAGTGAGGCAGGAAAGGGGCGCCCCCTCCCGGCAACCTTCCCCCACCCCCTGGCCGGCCAGGCCCGCACTCACGCGTCGCACACCTCCTTCAGCACAGCGGCCAGGGGCTTTGCCTGCAAGAGAAGATGTCACTCACGGGCCAGGAGTGAGGGAGAACCTGGGGAAGGGATAGGCGGGGCTGCTTCGAGGGGAAGAGGGCAACCCAGAGGTGGGCAGTGGGGCGACGTTGGCCGGACCGCCCGGGTGACCTGGTCCAGCTGGATGAGCTGCGGGATGGCGTCACGCTTCTGAACGGCGATCTTCACCACGTCCCGAGGGGGCGCCATGGCCCAGCCGGGGCGGGACACCTGTACCTTCCACCTTGCAACCTCAGGCCAAGGGCGCACTGGGTCTGGGCCCCCGGGGACGAGGGCGCTCCTCTGTCCCGCGGCCTGAAGCCCGTGGCCCACACTCTCGGCCCGGGCCGGCGCCGGCTTTCCCGAGGGAGCGAGGCTAGTTCCGGGTTGGAGTCCGGGGGTGGGAGGCCGGCGCCTGCCCCGCCCCGCCCCGCAGAGGCGGCCCCGCCCCGCCCCAAGGTGCGGCAGGTGGAGCAGGGCGGGAGGGCGGGCAGCTGCTCCGCCACACCTCCCCTCCAGCAAGGTGACCCACCCAGTCCCACCACCAATCCAGCGGTCCAAGGGAGAGGCCCCCCCAAAAAAATAAACAGACCAGAGATAGCCTTAGGCACGATCTTTATTCACTTGGACACTGTACAAATATTACAATTTCCTTTTGTTGCAAAAAAGTATAAAAATAATCTTTATATAGGAATCCATTCGTTACTGCAAATCTTTCTAAATCTCTGCAAATGGCTCTAATGAGGGTAAATGAATAAACAGGAGGGGCTATAGGGAGGAGGGAGGTTGGGTCAATCCTCAGGGACTCACCTGCCCAGATTCCTAGCTAGAGACCTCTGTTCCTATGAGCACCCTCCCCCTTCCCCCAACATCACCTACAGGTGGTCAGGGCTAAGGGCCAGGCAGAAGGGAGGCAGGAGAGGTCCAGGAGGAGCTCTAGGGTCAAGGGGTGGAGAGAAATGGAGGCAAGGAGTGGTGCTGGCAAGTGCCCAGCCCCACCTCAGCTTTCCTCCTGGGAGGGGGAAGAGCTGGCAGGAACAGGGCAAGGGGGGGGGTAGACAAGCTGCCCTACGGAGTGAATGCTTCCTCACTCTGTGACACTGGGTGGCAGTAGTCTGGGCTCAGGGCGGGCACAGGAAGGACACAGGTGGGGGGAGGCTCCAGAAAAGGAGAAGCAAATATTTTGGCTCCACCGAGGAGGGAGCTGAGCCCCTCTGCTCCCCCAGCACAATGCCGGTGTCGGTGCAGGAGTGGGAGCTGTGGCCAGAACTGTGCAGTGAGGGGAGGCTGGGGAAGCCGGAGTCTGTGGCTCTCAAGCTGTGTGTACGGCTGAGATGTAGGGGATCCCCAAGCAGCCCTCAGGTTAGACAGTCTGTGTCCCAGCCACACAGGGCGTGTCCCCGTCAGTCAGAGGTTGAGAACAGGCACATCAAAGAGGTCACAGACACCTTCACTCTCATCCAGGTTGTAGATGTAATCGTGGTCTCCGGGGGGCGGAGAAAGGCGGAGAAGGGGGGCAAACACTGCAGAGAGCACCAGGCTGAGGCCTGAGGCCAAGGCCAAGGCCCCACCCAACAGCCACCCAACCCCCTGTTCAAACCCACCCCCCACCTTCCTGGGCCACCCACCTTCTGAGGACATCAGCTCCTCCAGTAGATCCGAGCTCATGCACTCTGGGGAAGAAGGGAGGCCTCACTCACATTCTGGCTCCTGCCTCTCCACCCACCCAAGCCCAGGAAGGGGACCTCCCTCTGCCCGCATCAGGAACTTTCACACTATGCCCAGGTACCAATCAACCATGGGTCCTCAGAAGCTGCAAGACCCAGTAAGCTGTGCCCCGTTCCCAGCCCCAAGGAGGAACACAGCCCTACCTCGTGTGGGATCAAAAATTTCTGACAGCTCTTTGGGGAGTTCCAGAACTGAAAGACAAGAAAGCCATGCTCAAGGGCACAGAGGTCCAGCCTGGTCCCACTTTAGCCCCCAACTTACTCAGATCCTATACCATCCACCCAGGGGTTCCACAAAGCTGTGAAGGGAAGGCCCTGCCTTAAGCCAGGCTGGCATTATCTGTTGGTCTCCCTTGTTGACACAAATTCATCAGTGCGGAGTCTCAGCCGTACACACAGCTTGAGAGCCACAGACTCCGGCTTCCCCAGCCTCCCCAAAGGCTCACTGCAGGAGACTGGTGCTCCCTGTAACTCAGAAGTGCTGCAGAAGGGACCACTCCCTTTCTGGGTCCAGTGTGCATACGCTGACTGATGCAGGACACCCTGACTGATGCAGAACACCCTGACTGATGCAGGACACCCTGTCTGACGGAGGATACCCTGTCTGACGGAGGACACCCTGTCTGACGGAGGACACCCTGTCTGACGGAGGATACCCTGACTGATGCAGGATACCCTGTCTGATGGAGGACACCCTGTCTGATGGAGGACACCCTGTCTGAGGGAGGATAACCTGTCTGAGGGAGGACACCCTGTCTGATGGAGGACACCCTGTCTGATGGACGATACCCTGACTGACGGAGGACACCCTGACTAATGCAGGATACCCTGTCTGAATGAGGACACCCTGTCTGATGGAGGACACCCTGTCTGAATGAGGACACCCTGTCTGATGGAGGATACCCTGTCTGATGGAGGACACCCTGTCTGAATGAGGACACCCTGTCTGATGGAGGACACCCTGTCTGATGGAGGACACCCTGTCTGAATGAGGACACCCTGTCTGATGGAGGACACCCTGTCTGATGGAGGACACCCTGTCTGATGGAGGACACCCTGTCTGAATGAGGACACCCTGTCTGACGGAGGATACCCTGTCTGATGGAGGACACCCTGTCTGATGCAGGATACCCTGTCTGATGGAGGACACCCTGTCTGAGGGAGGATAACCTGTCTGACGGAGGACACCCTGTCTGATGGAGGACACCCTGTCTGACGGAGGACACCCTGTCTGACGGAGGACACCCTGTCTGACGGAGGACACCCTGTCTGATGGAGGACACCCTGTCTGATGGAGGACACCCTGTCTGATGGAGGACACCCTGTCTGAGGGAGGATAACCTGTCTGAGGGAGGACACCCTGTCTGATGGAGGACACCCTGTCTGATGGAGGACACCCTGTCTGATGCAGGATACCCTGTCTGATGGAGGACACCCTGTCTGAGGGAGGATAACCTGTCTGACGGAGGACACCCTGTCTGATGGAGGACACCCTGTCTGACGGAGGACACCCTGTCTGACGGAGGACACCCTGTCTGATGGAGGACACCCTGTCTGACGGAGGACACCCTGTCTGATGGAGGACACCCTGTCTGATGGAGGACACCCTGTCTGATGGAGGACACCCTGTCTGAGGGAGGATAACCTGTCTGAGGGAGGACACCCTGATGCAGGATACCCTGTGTAATGGAAGATACCCTGTCTGATGCAGGACTTCTGTCTGGTGCAGGATATCCTGCCTGAAGAATGCCCTGTCCATCCTTGCCCTTACTGAGCACCTCCTTGGTGCCAGGCTCAGACACCACACCTGAGCAGGGTTACCTGGCAGAGGAGGCAGACACTTCAACAGAGGCTGGTGCTACAGGGTGACAACCCTGTTACAAGTCTCACCGGGAGGACTCACATGTAAAGCAGAGGAAAATGAAGCTGGGAGGGGTGCCGTGGCTGGCTGATCACCAGGATGTCCCAAGCTATGTTTGGGAGCTCTGGTTTTACCCAGCAGGCCTTAGGAAGCCATTAAAGGTGCTTTTGTAAACAGAGGAATGCCACAGGCTGTGTTTCAGACACTCTCGTCAGTTGAGGTAGAGGATGCTGAAGGATTTGGGAGAGGTGGCTGGCAGTGACCCTGAGTGTTGGGGATATAAGAGATATCTGGAATAGAACTCACTTAGGTGATGTGAGGTGATGAATAGAAGCTGGAACTGAAAAAGCAAGTTTCAGTTGAGAACACATGGAAATGAAGTGTCCATTGGAAGGCACGTGGACACAAGGATGGAGTTCAGGCAGAAGATCTAGGCCAGACGGAGGTGGGCTCCTCTGGCCCTCCGCAGGTGTGGATGGGATAGAGACCCAGGAAGTGTCAATGGTTAAGGAACCCCAGAGAGGCCAGAAGGGGAGCTGGGGAGAGGAGCCAAGAGCTGGACTGATTAAAGACAGAGGAAGAAGAAAGCATCAATATGAAGCAAGAGGAGCAGAGCACATCAGCCTCGAAACCCACTGGAGCTGGCAGTCAGGGGTGGGTACCCAGAGCTTGGGTGTGAGGCGGGTGCACAGATCCTGACTGCTGCAGCCCGAAGGGTGACTGGGAGACCAACATATGAAGTGGAGTGAAGATGACTTTTTCGGAGTCCGGACAGAGAGGAGACAGGGAAGGTGAGAGAGGGATACGCAGAGGGCAACGTGTCATTTAGTGGGAGCGGCGCTTGTGGGCTGAGGAGAATGAGTCCTGGAAAAAGCAAACACTCAAGGCACAGGATGGAGATGGAGCTCCAGGGAGACAGAATCGCCTCTCTGGGGAAGGTGCTGCCGGCCTCGGGAGCCGAGGGCCACACCACAGCCCCTTCCCCAAGACAGTGCTTCCGCCTTCTTGAGACCTAAGTCCAAGGGTAGCAGGCAGGGCTTGAGAGAGGGCCAGGGAGTCCGGTGTCAGACCAATAAGGGGGACAAAGGGGCACCAGAGGGAGGCCAAGACCCTTTCTCTCAATGGCAGAGCTCTGGTCTAGGAAGGGTTGACAGCAAGGACTGGCCCTCACGCTGGCCAGCTCTGGCTGAGGAGATAGAACTGGGTTTCTAGCCCAAATTCTGTTTCTGACCCAAAACTGGCTGAGGCTGGATTCTCCTTGCTCCCAATGGGACAAGAACTCACCACCTGTGGGATCCACTTTGATGGGCTCAAAGGAGGTAGAAGGGTTGGGTCCAGATGAACTGCTGCTGCTGCTGCTACTGCTGCTGCTGCTGCTACTGCTGCTGTCCAGCAGGGCAGAGGACTGCAGTGGCCGGGTGTCCAGTGCTGCCGGGCCCAGCGAGAGTGAGCTGAGCTCACCACTGTCCTTGCTATCAGATCCGGGGCCGCCACTCACTGCAACCACATGGCCCAAACCCAGTCACTTGGGGCAGGAAGTGGAATATTGAAAGCAGCTGTGCTAGAACTCATGACCAGGATGACTACAGCCCTGGTTCCCAGGCCAAGGAGAGTTAGGTTCTGCCAGTCGCCCCCAAAAAGGTCATCTGGAAATGAGGCACTGCAGGACACAGGGGCATGGGGCCTGAGACAGGCTGCCAAGGCAAGCCAAGCAGGTGGATCTGGGGAAGACTGCCATCATTAATGTCCCTTCACACAGCCAGAGATTCCATTAAAAAAGGCTCTCATTGTCCCACCAGTGTGGCTCAGTGGTTAAGGGCCAACCAATGAACCAGGAGGTCACAGTTCAATTCCCAGTCAGGGCACATATCTGAGTCGTGGGCTCAATCCCCAGGAGGGGGCAGGCAGGAGACAGCTGATCCATGATTCTCATCATCTTTGTTTCTCTCTCTCTCCCCCTCTCTCTTCCGCTCTCTGAAATCAACAAAAACGAATTTTTTAAAAATAGAAAAAGGCCCCCTTGTTGCAGCAAGGGGAGGCCAGCCGAGGGCCAGGAAAAGACAAGCTCCACAAGGTCCCTTCCAGCTCTGAGCACAGCATCCCACAACAGAGGTATTGCCCCTTGGGCCCCCGAGATCACCCCGTCACCAGATGACCATCATGCCTCACCTATGATCTCAGCGGCTGGACTGGCCATCCCTTGGGCTTCGATGCCAGCAGGGACACAGATGGTGGTGGTGGTGCTGGTCACCTGGGGACTGCCTGGGTGGGAGGCCTCCTGGGGCAGGGCCACAGCAGGTTTGGGCAGAGGTGGAGGAGTGGAGAGCGCAGATGGGCTCTGGAGCAGATCTTCAGGGGGTGGCACAGGCACTGCCACAGGCGGCGAGCTCCATGCCTCCTTGTTCACCAGCAGCACCTCGATGGGACCACTCACACTCTTCAGATGAATCTGGTACTTCTTCTGCCCATTGAGGCCCTAGAGGTGTGAGGCAGGTGGAATTGGAAGCAGACTTGGCCCCTGCCTGACCCTGAGCCACAGTGTCCTCCCTCACCCCAGGCTGTCCATCCTCCTAGATAACCCGAAACCTCAGGCCTCCCCCTACCCGCCCCACCCGAGACTTATCGGGCTCCACAGCCAGCACCCGCCCTCAGCCAACCCCGCCTGCCTGGGCTGAGCACCCACCTCTGGGATGGGCACCTCCAAGCTGGTGCCAGAAGGAGCCCGGATGGCTAGAAGAGTGTCTCCTAGAATAACAAACGGAGGAGTGTCAGGGCCCAGGGGTTCAATCTGAGCTGGGAATGGGGGTTCCTATCCCTTGGAGCAGGAAGATCATGGTCTCTGAGGGGCTAGACACCCAATCCCCACAGAGGCTGGGACAGAGAACTAAAGCTTTTCTCCTTTTAAGACCCCAGGGGTGACTAGCCAGAAAATCTGAACTCAAACATGCGGAACAAAAAATTGCTGGCCATGAGTATCTCAATCCCCAACTGAGGGCTGCTGCCCAGGTATAGGCATTCTGGCCAAGGCCAACATCCCTCCCCCAGGACCAGTCTGGGGGAAGAAAGGCAGAGAAGGAACAGTTCCCGTATCCACAATGCAACTGAACTAACTACAGGGTGGAAGTGGGCACCATGGCCCTCTGCATACAAGCATACACGCACGAGCACACACACGCTTTCTCCTTACGTTCGCTCATCACACCTGAGAAGCCAAACCCAAGGCACCATGTCGATGGGGACTGTCCTAGAGACCCAGCCCAGAATTCCTGTGTCCTCTCAGTACGGCTGGCCTCCACAGGGCCCCAGTGATCCTCTAACCCAGGACTTATGCTGCCTGATTCCTCTTTGGGAAGGCCCAGAACTCTCTTTAGATACTGAACCCACTGCTCAGGGCTGTGGCTCAGCCCGGCCCCAACCCCTTCTTCCCCCCTCCCCCCCAGCCCTCCCAATTCAGGCTCTGCTCACCAGCAAAGCATCTGCAGATGTCCTCGTGAGTCACGTAGGCCAAGGTGTGGGGGTTAAGGAGAACGACTGCTGCCCTGCCTATGGTGACAGATGGCAGACCACAGAGAAGACCAGCTCTTCAGCAGAAGTCTAACATGCAAGCCCTCGTGGAGAAAGTCCTGGGGCCTGGGGTCCAGAAGGGAGGGATCACAGACCCAGATTGGTGGGAGAGAGGGAAGCAGGAGGCTGGGACCTGGCCAGGAGCTGCAGGACCATCCTCCCAAGAGGGATAGAGCCAGGACATCACGATGCAAACCCAGCTGGACTGAGAGGGCCCCTCACCCACACCCCAGGAGCAGGGTCTGCCAGGAGGATATCAGCTGTTCTGCACGTCCTCGGTGACGTTCCGGATGCTCTGCTGCACCCACACCTTGTGCTGGTCCAGTTCTTGCTCTCGCTGCTGCAGCTCTTCGATCTCTGCCTTCAGCTCGATCAGCTTGTCCGCAATCTCCCGGGTGTTACAGCCAGGCCCCACGCCCCTGAGCCCAGGGAGTGGGGCTGAGGAGGACCGCCAGGAGCTCTGGGTCCCACGGACCCTGCTCTCTCCTGCACCCTCCACCGCCCACCAACACTTCCGGATAGGAGATCCCACAGCCCTCCCGGGGGCCTCCACTCACTTCCACTGGATGCTATTCTTGGATTTTTTCTCGATCAGCCCAATACCTTCCAGCACGTTGGTGATGTCGTAGATCCGCCGCTTCTGGCGCACGGCTAGGGTGTCAGCTGCCTGGCAGAGAGAACAGAGGGGAGGATGCTCAGCCCCACTCCCAGGTGTATCCTCAGCTACCTCGAGACTTGGTTTGGAGGTGACTGGAAAGGGGGTGGACAGTCCCAACCCTCCTCCCAGGCATTACAGCAGCTCAGGACCGCAGGGCAGAAAGAGGCCTGGCACAAACGGAACTGGCGTTCTGATGCTCTTTTCCCCGGACAGGGAGGGCCACGAGGACCAGCACCTGCAGCCCGGAGGCTGGCACAGGGCTGACACCCAATGGCCTCGGCCGAATGAATTAAACAGGCCCCGACCTCCCACTCGCGAGAAAGCACACGCAGGGCAGCTGGCTCCCTGAGGGCTCCGCTGGGTCGCCCTTCGGGGTCCCTGCTACCTGCCCAGGCCTATTCCAACATCCCCTCCGTCGCCCCTCAGGCCGGACCGCACCAGCTTGAGGTCAAGCACGCCGTCCTTGGCCTCCTGCAGAAGCGACACGAACTTGGTGGTGAGAAGCCCCAAGCTCTTCTCGTGCCGGCTTGGGGTGCCCGGGGGCGGCGGCGCCTGTGGCCCGGCCTCCGCCATCGCGCCCGCCCGCCGCCTCCCCTCAGCCAGGCCAGGCCAGGCCGGCGCCGCCGCCACTTCCGCTTCCGCTCCTCACCGCCCAGCCGCCGGCGCCAGCGTCGCAGCTTCCGCTTCCGTTCCGCTCTCTCCTAGGGAGCGTAGAGCAATTCCTCTCCGCGGGCACGGCCGCAAAAACTCTGGGGCCGTCGGCAAATTTTCAACCGCCGAAAAGGACGAAAAGTACGGGTGTAGGAAGTCGGTGGCAGCCCGGGCAGTAGAGAAGGGGGAGCCACCAGAACCTTCCGGGTGGCCATCCCGTCTCAGGAGAGGAGGGACCGCAATGCCAGATGAACCCAATGTGTTTTCCCAATTCCTGCTCCTATAAGCTGCTCCACTGTCTCTTGGGGTCACCAATTCCTGCTCCTATAAGCTACTGCACTGTCTTAGGAGTATTATCGTACCTCACTTCCTGCCAAACAATAAGCACTAACTACATCTAGCTTGTCCTCTTGTCTCCAGCCCCACTCCCCTGATCCCAGCCTCAGAGGCAATAGAATTATAGCCACTTTTCAGCCAATGCAAACATGTTCACATGTTTAGTCAATGAGTAAATATATGTAAAGCACTTAGAACAGTTCCCAGCATGTAGGAAGGCTTTTGTGTTTGCTGATATCATCTTGCTATTTTTTTTAACGTTTTTTGTTATTATTTTTACCCAGTCAAATTCTCCAGGAAGCAGACTTTGAATCAGGGATCTTGCCTGCAGGAAGTTTATCCAAACTTGTAAGAAAAGCAGAAATGGACAGAAAAGGAATTAAACTGCAATGCAGTTATAATAAAGACCCCGGCCCATCCTATTAGGAGTTCTGAAACTGGGTGGCCCTTCCAAGACATTCCATATCCAGACAGGGGTACGGGTTCTAGGCCTCTGTACCCCAACACTGGCCATGAGATTCAGCTGTGAGACCTCAGCAGCATACACTCCAAGCAGCAAGGGGAACAATTGTCTTTGTCCTGAAAGGTGGATTTGGGTGATTCCCTAGTGCCCACTACATTATTAGTATCTCATAGTCCCTCCTGTGGCCCCTTTAACTCTCAAGATAAACAATTCTCAGAGCCCTTGAACCTCTACTGCCATCACCCACCATACATATTCTTTTTATTTACTTATTTTCTTTCTCTTTTATAATATGCACTAGAAGCCTGGTGCACGAAATTCTTGCACATGGGCGGGGGGGAGGCGGGGGGGTGTCCCTCAGCCCAGCCTGCACCCTCTCCAATCTGGGACCCCTCGAGGGATGTTAAACTGCCAGTTTAGACCTGATCCCATTGGGGTCTAAATGGGCAGTTGGACATCCCTCTCACAATCCAGGACTGCTGGCTCCCAACTGCTCACCTGCCTGCCTTCCTGATTGCCCCTAACCACTTCTGCCTGCCAGCCTGATCACCCCCAACCACTCCCATGCCAGCCTGATTGATGCCTAACCGCTCCCCTGTTTGCCCCCAACTTCCCTCCTCTGCTGGCCTGATCACCCCTAACTGCCTTCCCCTGCAGGGTTGATCACCTCCAACTGCCCTTCCTTGCAGACCTGGTCCCTCTCAGCTGCCCTCCCTTGCAGACCTCGTGCCTCCCAACTGCCCTCCCCTGCTGACCATCCTGTGGTCACATAGGGGCAGGATCTTTGACCACATGGGGGCAGCCATCTTGTGTGCTGGAGTGATGATCAATCTGACTATTATCCTTTTATTAGATAGGATTTTATTTATTTTTAATTTTTGCTATTTTTATTTTTTTTATATATATTTTATTGATTTTTTACAGAGAGGGAAAGAGGGATAGAGAGCTAGAAACATCGATGAGAAAGAATCATCAATCAGCTGCCTCCTGCACACCCCCTACCAGGGATGTGCCTGCAACCAAGGTACACGCCCCTGACTGGAATCGAACCCGGGACCTTTCAGTCTACAGGCTGACGCTCTATCCGCTGAGCCAAACCGGTTTCAGCTAGACAGGATTTTATTGATTTTTTTACAGAGCGGAAGGGAGAGGAATAGAGAGTTAAAAACATCGATGACAAGAGAAACATGGATCAGCTGCCTCCTGCACACGCCCTACTGGAGATGTGCCCACAACCAACTTACATGCCCTTGACCGGAATCGAACCCAGGACCCTTCAGTCCACAGGCCAATACTCTATTCACTGAGCCAAACCAGTCACGGCCACTGGTTTTTTTTGTTGTTGTTGTTTTAAATATATATATTTTATTGATTTTTTTTACAGAGAGGAAGGGAGAGGGATAGAGTTAGAAATATCCACGAGAGAGAAACATCGATTAGCTGCCTCCTGCACACCCACAACTGGGGATGTGCCCACAACCGAGGTACATGCCTTTGACCGGAATCAAATCTGGGACCCTTCAGTCCGCAGGCCGACGCTCTATCCACTGAGCCAAACCAGCCAGGGCTCACATTCTTCACAACAGCCTGTGATCTCTCACTTCTCTGCAGAAGTTACACACCCTCCTCCGAAGGGCCTGCATAGTCAGCATAGTTTTCATACTGTGATGTTGTCTGTGTCCATATTTGCACACATCACTCTCTACCCCAAATTGGGGCCATCTAGTTCATGTCCATTCTGAGCACTAAGAGGTCCTGGGTAGACTGGTCAAGACTTAATAATCACAGGGAGTACCGCCTCCTTCCCCCCCAGGAAGTGGGCCCAGCCCTCCCCACCCCATTCCACAGCACAGATGCTCTTTCCTGTTGGGAATAAAATGCCAGAGACTCAGCTTCCTTCCTTTCTGCTTGTGGTCTTGGGGAGAGAGGAGGCGGGCTTCTGGACAGGGAGGTGGGCCTGAGGCTTCCTTGGGAAGGGGAATTCTGCTGCACGCTGGGACCCAGAGCCTCCTAGGCCCTGTGAGCCAGTGGAGGGAGTGTCCAGCTCTGTCCAGCTCTGTCCAGCTGGGGGAGAGGGCCATCCTCAAGGCCAACACTGTTTGCGGAGGAGGCAGAACTGGCCGCCTGGTCAAGCCTGGTGAGTTCCATACCAAACCGTCCTCTGCAACTCGGGACAGGAGTGGGGTCCAGCGGAGGCCTGTGCCCACCTGGCCTCACTTGGCATCTGAAGGGGCAACGCTGAGAAACCCGGCAGAGGAGGCTTCCCAGGTGCCTCCCAATCTCACCCTGCCCCCCTCTCGTTTCCTGAGGAGCCTGAGCAGGAACCTAATCTCCTCAACCCCCCTCCTCCTTCTGAGAGAGGCCTCCCCAGAGCCTGCAGCTCAAAGCTCACCCGCTCTGCCTGCTCTAACCCAGACCCTCGCCCGGACTCCTCCCTCAGCTCTGGCTCCTCCAGGGCCTAAAATGGACCCCACAGCCAAGGACGAAATGCAGCCTTCCCTTCCTCCTGGTATGAGCCCTTCTGGGTGGGGAGGGGGAGGGAATGCGGCAGGAAAGATGGGAGTGGTGGGTTTGGCTGGGGTTCTGTGGGTCAGTGAGAGGAGTAGACTGCCCTGGGCTTTCAGGCTGAGGAGCCGGAAGCGGAGCAGGGTCGGCAGCTGCTTCCTTCAGCTGACATGGCTACCCAGGCTCTTCCTGCCCAGGGTCAGAGTGGCCGGAGCAGGAGAGGGCGGAGCAGCTGGCCCGGGGCGCAGCACTCAAGTGGGCCTCCGGCATCTTCTACCGGCCAGAGCAGCTGGCCAGGCTGGGCCAGTACCGCAGCCGGGAGGTGCAGCGCACCTGCTCCCTGGAAGCACGCATTAAGGTGGGCATCAGGCAAGGGGCAGGAGGGCTGGAGGTGGTGGCCAGCTGGCCGGGCCCCACCGTCTCCCTCCCTTCCGCAGTCAGTGGTGCAGTCCTACCTGGAGGGTGTGAAGACTGGGGTGTGGCAACTGGCACAGGCCCTCGAGGCCGTGCAAGGAGCCCGGGAGGCCCTGGGCCAGGCCCGTGGGCTGCTCCGGGGCATGGCCAACGCTGCACAGACCCTAGAACCCTTGCGGGAGCAGGTGGTCCAACACAAGCAGCTGCAGGCCCTGTCTCAGCTGCTGCCCCGGCTGCGAGCAGGTGAGTGTGCAAGGGCCCTGGGCTTCAGCCCCCAACTCTCAGTCAACACACTCATGGGGTACCAGAGGGAGGTTACAGGGAGGGACAGACCACGGGCCTCCCAGAGAGTAACTCAGGCTTCAGATGGCACATAAAGCGGGGTGCAGGTGAGCTCATCCGGTTTCTGAGCGGGGCATGTCTGAGTCAGCACTGATGCCCAGGCAAGTGGCTCTGGCCACCCTGGTTGTTTAATTGAAATATTCCCTCACAGGGCGGATGAATAGCCACTAGACCGTCCTGCAGTTCCTCCCTGCCTTCCCTCCCTGACTTCCGTATGTTCCACCAGCTCAAGGGTTTACACCTGGTCCAACAGGCCTTAGGCCCTTCCGTGGCCCTTTCAGGTCGGCCAGTACTCTACTACACCGGTTATATTTTATTTTCTAATAAGATTAAGTTTATTCAATGAAAGTCTACTCTACTGATTACTAAATACTTTATCCACCACCCCGGCCGCAGGGCCTCAGCATCTGATCCTGTACCCACTGCACAGGTGGGAAGGCTGAGACCCAAGGCTGTCTCCTCTGCTCCCTCCTTAGTGCCGGCTGCGGTGGTCCACACACAGACCCTGATCGACGCCCATCGGCTCTTGGAGGCATATGTGGGCCTCAGGGAGCTGGAGCAGCTGCAAGAGGAGACGTGGGCCTCTCTGGGCGGCCTGGAGTTGCCCGTCTTTGAGGGGCTGGGCCCTCTGGCGGAGGCACTGGGCCAGGCTGTGGAGGCAGCTGTCGGGGCGGCAGGGCAGCTGGCCCGGGAGGACCCGGCCCTGTTGGTGGCCGCTGTGCGTGTGGCGGAGGTGGAGGCCGGCAGGACCACCCCCCTGGAGCAGGCCCCGCGGGACTGGCGACAGCGCTGTCTGCGAGCGCTGGAGGAGGGCCTCCAGCGGGTGCACTTCGGGACGCCTCTGCTGCCTGGACCAGGGGCCCTCGCGGGGTGGCTGGAGGCTCTGCGGGTGGCTCTCCCAGCCGAACTGGCCACAGCGGAGGCACTGATAGCTCCCTGCTGCCCACCGCACTACAAGGTGGTGCAGCTGTGGGCCCACACCCTGCACAGCAGCCTGCGGCGCTGCCTGCAGCAGCTCCTGGAAGGGCCCGAGCTGGGGGCTGCCGACGCCTTCACCCTGCTGCACTGGGCGCTGCACGTGTACCTGGGGTCAGTGCCCGCGGGGCAACGGGGAGCGGGTGGATCCGATGCTGGGGGCTCAGGGTGACCCTGGGCCACTCGTCCCCAGGCCGGAAATGATGGGGAGCCTGGAACTGGGGCCGGAGGCTGATGTGTCTCAGCTGGAACCTCTCCTGACGCTGGAGAACATCGAGCAGCTAGAGGCAACATTTGTATCCAAAGTCCGGGTGAGTCGCTGGGGCCCGGGTCCAGAGAAGCACTGCCACCAGCTGCCTGTTGGTAGGGTCACGTGGCTGCCTGTCTCTGGCAGGATCAGTGCATTCTGCTGCATTCTGCAACCCCTTGTCCCTTGCGCTAGGCAAACGTGGTGCAGTGGCTGCGGAAGGCACTGGATGGGGAAGTGGCTGAATGGGGCCGGGAGCGGGAGCCTGACACAGATCCATCTGGCTTCTACCACTCACCAATGCCAGCCATCGTGCTGCAGGTGGGTGGGAAGTGGCAGCAAGCCAGGTGGACAGCCCTCATAAAGGACGGGGAGGAGGGCAGCACTAGGACGCTGCTGATGGCTGCCCATCCCTGCCTATAGATCCTGGAAGAAAACATTCGAGTAACCATCCTGGTCAGTCAGTCACTGCAGCGGCGGGTGCACGGCATGGCCCTGTCAGAACTGGGGGTGTTCCTGAGAAGGTCTGTACTGACCCACCCCCAAACCCTGGCCCTGCTCCAGGGGCAGCCCCGGGCGGGGGGTGGGGGGCTCTGAGTGAATAAGGCTCACCAGAGGGTTGGGTATCTTGAAGGTGGGGGCCAGAGCACTTGGGACAGAAATGGTTGGGGTACCAGTGGCAGCAGGTACAGGTGCCGCCTCTGTCCTTTGCAGCTTTAATGATGCTCTGATCCGATTCTCCCGAGACCACCTCAGAGGGGAAGCAGTGGTCCCTCATTACGTGTCCTACCTCCTGGCTGCCCTCAACCACCAATCGGCACTCAGGTACCATAAGGCCCCCACGGAACCCCACCTCCACTAACTGCTGAGTACCTGCTAAGTACGGACCCAGCCTTCACTAGTCTATTAGGAACTTTGGAGTCACATAGCCCCACGGTTCCAATCCTAGTTCTACTAATTAGCTGTGTGACCTTGGGCTAATTATGTAATCTCTCTTTTCTTATTAGTATTAAATGAGTTACTAGAGGCCCTGTGCACGAACTTGTGCACAGGTGGGGTCCCTCAGCCTGGCTGGTGATCAGGGGCCAGCTGGCCAGGGGGGAGGGACCATGGGAGGTTGGCCGGCCACCCCAATGGGGACCAGTTGGGGCAGGTCAGGGGGAAGGACTGTGGGAATTTGGCCAGCTGCAGGAGGTTGCCAATGGGAGCACACTGATCACCAGGGGGGAACTCCTACATTCAGCACCTGCCCCCCAGTGGTCAATGCGCATCATAGCTACCAGCAGATCATCTGGTCATAAAGATGGCTTAGGATTTTATATATAGACTATAAAAACCTCATGAGCCGAGGTTTGCCCCTCTGTTGACTAATGAGTTTGCTGACCACTGACCTAGTCTCTCAATTCTAATAATTACAGGCTGTTGTTGTTCCTTGTGATTAAGCCCCTATCCCAGTGGTCGGCAAACTTATTGGTCACCAGAGCAGCAAATCGCGGCTCATGAGCCCCATGTGGCTTGAGAGCTGCAGTTTGCACACCACTGAACTAGAGGCCCAGTGCACAAAATTTGTACAAGGGTGGGATTCTTAGGCCTTGCCAGCGACCAGGGCCGATCAGGTTCCCTGCCTCCCTGCCTCCCCACTTCCTGCTTCCCTCACCACCTGTGCACCACCACCATGCAGTTCCCTGCCTCCCTGCTTCTTCCTTTCCTTACTGCCTGCGTCTGCTGCCACCCACCCTCAGTTCCCCGGTTCCCCTGGGCCTGGCTGGAGGGAGGGCCTACCACCACCGCAGCAGGTGGGTGGTGGGCCTATCGGGGCCTGTGGCCAGGAGGAGGGACCAGGAGGTTGGCTGGGAGGCCCCATCAGCAATCCCGGCCCGTGGGCTGGGGGCAGCTCCTGTGTTGAGTGTCTGCCCCCTGGTGGTTAGTGTGCATCATAGCGACCAGTTGGCCCATTGTAACACTTAGACTTTTACTACTATATATATATAGATAACAAGACATTCTGAGGATCACATTTAATGTAAAGTACCTACCATAGTGCCTAGAACATAGCCTCATGTATTCATTAATTCATATATACTCACCAAGGTCTACTCTGTGTCTGGGGATCAAAACAGAAAAGTATTTCCTTCCCCTTGGGTCTTGTATTATTTGGGACTAGAGGGCTGGTGCATGAATTCATGCACAGGTAGGGGGCCCTTCAGGGTAGCCTGTGGAAATCGGGCCCCAGTTCATGCCCCCAGCCTCGCAGCCCCACCTGGCACCCTGCCTTGGTCTGACACTGCCCAGTCACTTGCTCCATCATCCTGTCTACGGGGCAATCAGCAGGGCAATTGGCGGGGCAATCGGGCCCCCCTGCATCCACCATGGCTTGTTGCTGCCCGCTCACCTGCTCCACCATCCTGCTGAGGTCCTGCTCTCATTGGGGCCCACTGGGGTTGGCAGTGCCTCCACTGCCATCGCTGCCAGCATCACATGGCCGATGCCTGCCATGTTCCAAGCAGCCCCCTGGTGGTCAGCGCATGTCATAGCGAGCAGTCGAACTCCTGGTCTCCCGGTTGAACTGGTCAAATGACCCCCTGAGGGGACAATCTGCATATTAGGCTTTTACTACATAGGATGGGGACAGAGAGGTCAGACAAACAAGTTACTACTACCTCTTGACTGTGATGAACTCTCTCCCCTTACCAATGAGAAAACAGAAACAGAAAGACATGGCTTGCTCAAGGTCTCACTGGGAATTAGACACAGGTCCCACTGGGTTGTGTCTTTTCTAGCTTGCTGAGCCCACCCTAGATCTTCAGAAGTGCGAGGGAACCGCCCTTCTTGCCCTGTCCCGCCGCACACACTCCCGCCACTAGGTGGCGCCCAAGCAGCCAGACCCTAGAGGGCTGTGAGGGCCTTGGCCTTGGTGCTGAAGCCCTACTTTTGGTTGGTCCAGCTCCTCCGTGTCCGTCTTGCAGCCCGAAGGGGTGGTCTCAGGGGCCTTGGCTCCGGTGGAGGCAGCGCTGGACGAGTTGCAGAAGAGGATCTGCCGGCTGGTGCTGGAGGCGCTGTTGCTGGAGCTCCAGGTGAGGGACTTCAGGTGGGGATCAGGGCAGGAGGAGATCAGGGGTAGGTGTGGGAGACTCCGCGGGGAAATGTCGGGTCTGGATCGTCCTTCCAGCCCCTGTTCGAGACTCTGCCCTCGCGCCCTTGGCTGTCGAGCCCGGAGCTGCTGAGCAATGTGTGCGAGCGGACAGCGCACTTCTGCCGGAACTTCTGGCGTGTTCGGAACCCCACATTCCAGGTGTGTTGGGGAAAGGCTGGCTGGCGAGGGTGGGACGCCGATGGGAAAGGGGTCCTGGGCCCACCTGATAGCCCTCCCCCCACGCAGGTGCTCCTGGCTGAGGCAGAGCGCACGGTGGTGCTGCTGTACCTGGGCGCGCTGATGCAGGGCCGCCTGGTGTGCCGCGGGCCGGACGAGCGGAACCAGGCAGCCGAGCGCATGCAGCAGGATGCCACCCAGCTCCGGGATCTCTTCCTCGATCTGGTAAGCGCTTGTGGGGCGAGCAGGTGGGTGTGAATCTCCGTGGCTGGGTGGGAGCCAAGAGCGGGTTCAAGACCTCGCCCCAACTTGGTGTCCAGGGCCTGGAAGAGAACGTTCACTGCGCGCCGGTGCTGCTCACCCTGCGAAAGCTGCTGAACCTCCGCGACCCCACGATGCTGGGCCTCGAGGTGGCCAGCCTTCGGCAGCAATTTCCCGACGTAAGGTACGCAGATGGGGGCGGAAAGGGAGAAGAGACCTGGGAGGAATAATGGGGGGGGGCGCTGATGCATCCCTGTGGTTTCCTCTTTCTCCCCCCACCCCCCCCAGCGAGGAACATATCTCCGCCCTCTTGGACCTGCGCGGGGACGTGTCCCGGGAGCAGCGCCTGGCCGCACTCAGCTCCCTGCAGGACGGCCCGCAGCCCTCGCCCCGCGCGGGTCGCCGCGCCCTCTTCAGCCTCGTGCCGGCGCCCACGCCTTCCCCGTCCTGCCTCTTCTCGGGGTCCTGTGCCTGACTCTCTCCACTGCGAGCAGAATAAAGCTGGGTGCCCGCTCCCCGCACCCCCCGTCCGCCTGAATTGTGTGTGTTGGGGGAAGAGGGGATGAAATTAAAGTGTCCGAACCGGGACCGGTTTGGCTCAGTGGATAGAGCGTCGGCCTGCGGACTGAAAGGTCCCAGGTTTGATTCCGGTCAAGGGCATGTACCTTGGTTGCGGGCACATCCCCAGTAGGGGGTGTGCAAGAGGCAGCTGATGGATCTCTCTCATTGATGTTTCTAACTCTCTTTCTCTCCCTTCCTCTCTGCAAAAAAATCAATTATATGTATATATATATATATATATATATATATATGTGTGTGTGTGTGTGTGTGTGTGTGTGTGTAAAGAAAAGAACAAACAGCCAGTAAGGTAGGAGGTTTGGGGAGCCATGTGGGGAATGTGTGTCCAAAATGAAGTGATTAACTGTGTCAAGTGCTGCTGATCAATATGAAAATTATTCAGTTTCTATAGGGTTTGGGTGGAAAGCCAGGACAGGGACACGCCTAAGGCACCCCATCGGTCCCGGCATCACCTCCCAAGGACCCGGGCTTCCGTGAGCGGGCTGCCTCCGCATGTCTCCCCAGCCTGACTGGGGTACCATCTGAATTCAGCCTTGAAACCCGCCTGGCATGCTCGGAGCCGGCGGGCTCAGGACCCGCCCCGCCTGGGGACGTGACTGGATGGCGGACACGGCCCGCCTCGGCCCGGCCCCGCCCCCGCAGCTGTATTCTCGGGACGCGAACCCGCGCGCTTTCGCGTGAGCGTACGCGCCCCTGAGGGCGTGCGTCCCAGGCGTCCGCTCCGGGGGGCTCGGAGCGGGAACGGTGGCGGAGAGAAGAGCAGCGAACAGGTGGGGGCAGGACACGAGGATGGAGCCCTTTCCCTCCCGGAGAGGGAGAGGCTGAGGCTGAGGCTGAGGCTGAGGCTGAGGAGGCGCGCGACGTGACCCCACCTCACTGACGGAGAGATTCCCCTTCTATTGTCTCCCGGCCCCGCCCTCCATTGGACACGCCCTTTGCCTCATCCCCGCCCCCGCCGTTTATTGGCTGTAGGTCACGCCCCTCCTCCGTTCCCATTGGCTCCACGTCCACGTCATCCTCTCCGGGAGCTTCCCATTGGCGCAGGCTACACCCTCTCCCTTGTCACCAGACTCCACCTTCCTTCTGGGTTCCTCCCCCTAGCCATCTCTCATTCATTCTGCATCTGGTGCTGGATGCTGGAGACATGGGAGGGCATCAGACCCGTCCCTGCCCTCAGGGAGTCCAGGACATGGTGAGGGGACACGGACCTAGGCTACGACAGTGACCACCTAGGGCGGTCAAGGGGCCGCCTAGGCGCACTGGGAGCCTCTAGGACGCCTGGCAGACTTCCCGGAGGAGGTGAGGCCTAAACCAAGCCCTGAAAAATGGGTGGGAGAGTGTGCTCCAGGGAGACTTTGGGAAAGCATCCGTGGCAGAAGGGCCTGAGACATAAAAGACACAGGCGTGTTCTGGTAATTGCCAAGAAGTAGGTGGAAAGATGAAGGGGGACTGGTCCAGGTAGAGACTCGGAGACCGCGGAGAAGTCCAGGAAAGTGTACAGTTAAGTTGAGGGGAGTGAAGCCTGAGGCCAGAAATCTTTTTAAGCAGCTGGTCTCTAGGCGGGATGGAAGGAATGTGTGTGTGTGTGGTGTGTGTGTTCGCGCGGTGGACATGGGGGGAGGGAGAGGGGATCAGATCCAGAAGGGAAAACAAAGTGCAAGGAAGGAATGATTCCAGTTCTGAGAAGGAAAGGGGCTCTTGGGTTCAGATATTTATTGAACAGCTAGCTCTGGGCTCTGGGGACACAATGTGAACACTCAAAAGGAGAAAACGGAAAACTAACAATTAAATATACTGTTCTTCAGATGGAGATACCAGCCACAGAGAACAATAGCCTGAGGAAGGGGGTGGGGAATTGTGGTGGTGGAGGGGTGGGAGAGGAGATTTATTATTTCTTAGAGTGTGCTTTAGGAAGGCTTTTCTAATAACGTATTTGTGCAAAAATATGAGGAAAGTGGGAGAGTGACCACTGCAGTTATATGGGTAAAAGACACTTCCGACAGGGGACATGTTCAGTCTGAGATACCTGTTATACATTCCGGTAAAAACAGGTTGAATTGAGAACTGGCAATACTAACCTGAGGTTTATGGAAGAAGTCTGGGCTGATGATCCTAAAACGATGAGAATGGATGAGATTTCCCAGGGAGTGGGCACAAGTGGAGGAGAGAAGTTTCCATATAAATTTCTATGTTCACTACTGTGTTAAGAGGTCAGGAAGATAGGGATGACTAGCAAGGAAGAGCAAGAATGAACAGTTAGAAAAAAATGAAAAGAAAAGAACAAACAGCCAGAGAGGTAGGAGATTTGGGGAGCCAAGTGGGAAACGTGTGTCCAGAATGAAGTAATTAGCTGTGTCAAGTGCTGCTGATCAATATGAAGATTATTGATGACCTTGGTCATATCAGTTTCGATAGGGTTTGGGGGGAAAGCCTAACTGGAGTGAAATTTAAGAGAGAACAGGAGCCCTGGCTGGTGTGGCTCAGTTGGTTGACTGTCATCCTATGCACCAAAAGGTTAGATTCCTGGTAGGTCAGGGCACATGCCCTGGTTTCCCGCTGGATCCCCATGGGGGGCATGCAAGAGGCAGGCAATCGATGTTTCTCTCTCTCATCCATATTTCTCTCTCCCTCTCCCTTCCTCTTGTTCTAAAATCAACAAAAAGATACTTTAAAGAGAGAACAGGAAAGAAAGAAATGTGCTGCAGTAAGGAACAGCTGGAAGGAGTGTGTGGGGTTTGTTTTGTTTTGTGAATCCTCAACCAAGGATATTTTTCCTTTGATTTTGAGAGAGAGAGAGAGGAAGGGAGGGAGAGAGACAGAAAAAGAGAAACATCGATGTGAGAGAGACACATCAATTGGTTACCTCCTGCACATAACCTGACCAGGGCTGGGGATCTACCCTGAAACCAAGGTATGTGCCCCTGACGGGAATCGAACCTGGGACCCTTCAGTCCAATGCTCTATCCACTGAGCCAAACTGGCTAAAGCTTTGTTTTGTTTTTTAAAATGGATAAACAACATATGTATTTATGCTGATGTAAAGAATCCAGCAGAGGAGAAGATATTGGTGATGTAGGAGTGGTAGAAGAGAGGAGAAATGCTGGCAGTGTGTCCCTGAGCAGGCAGGCAAGGTTGTTCAGAGGCTGCAGAAAAACAGCATTGGACGGAGCCCTGGTACAGTCAGGGGTGAGGGCCCAGCACTGGCCTTGGATGGCAACTGGGAAAATGCCTCTGATGGGGGACAGACCAGGGATTGGCTTGGTTTTACTAACATTTCTCTTTGACCCCTAAGAGCTGATTCTAAATTGGATTTGAACAGATGGTCCGGTGGAGAGAGAGCATTCCAAGTGGAGGGACTAGCATAATAAGCAAGGGGCATGCAGGCACTCAAACCGGGGCCTAATGGGCTGGAGGAGGTGGGTGGGGCCAGGCGGGAGTGGAGAGGGAACTGAGAAATGCTATAGAAAGAAGGCTATAGCCGAAACTGGTTTGGCTTAGTGGATAGAGCGTCAGCCTGCGGACTGAAAGGTCCCAGGTTCGAATCCGGTCAAAGGCATGTACCTTGATTGTGGGCACATCCCCAGTGGGGGGTGTGCAGGAGGCAGCTGGTCGATGATTCTCTCATTGACATTTCTAACTCTCTATCCCTCTCCCTTCCTCTCTGTAAAAATATCAATAAAAATATATTAAAGAAAGAAAGAAAGAAAGAAAGAAAGAAAGGAAGAAAGAAAGGAAGAAAGAAAGAAAGCAGGCTATAGGTAGAAGGTGGTGAGGCCCCCTCACCACCTATCAGCCTGGCAGCTGAGGCTACATTCTACCAGCTTCCAGGCCAGGCGGGTGCTGAGCACAGGGATTAGAATCATGAGCAGGGGTTCAGGCCTGCTTCCAGGAGCTAAAGCTGTTCCAGGTGACGCATAGACTCTTCCCCCTGATCTCCCAGTCCAGCTTGCTTTGGTGAGCCTGCTGGAGGGAATGGACACTGGGGTAGGTGTGGCGAGGGGGCAGCTACCCAGACCGACCCCTGGGAACCCAGCAAGGGCAGTGTAGAGCATAGGGCTTGCTGGCCCTCAGGCCACACGTACTCATGCTGGCCTCCACTTGCCCTTCCGTGTCCCCAGAAGTCCACAGCGTGGGGAGTTGGAGTGCGCCGGCTGGATGTGACCCCCCGAGCAGAATGGTGCTGGACTCGGGGGCTCAGGTGTATGAGCAGCCGCCCCCTAGCCCACCAGCCAGGCACTCAACCTCCGGCCGTAGGCCGACGCCCTCAGACCGAGATGGGACGCCGCTGTACTCCTGGCCTCAGTCCCTGGCCTTGCCCCTGGCTCTGTCGGTCCCCTCGGCCCTGCGGCCCCGGCCTGAGCTGCAGTCCCTCTCAGAGCTGCGCTGGGGCCCCTGTGGCCCCATGCGGCGCAGCGAGAGCACCTGCACCGTGAACAGTGCCGGCCAGCAGAGGGCTGGCACCCCGGGCCGGGCCCCGCCTGGACGTAGACGGGACCCAGGCTGGGGCACCCTGCGGTCCGCATCCTCCCTGCCTCACATCGCTAAGACTCCGAAGGATGGGGGCCGTGGCGCCAGCAAGAGCCCCTGCCTGCTCATGGCCCTGCGGCCCACCAACATGGACAGTGAGCGGGACAAGTTCTTCCAGTCCCGCTACACCTACAACCCGCAGTTCGAGTACCAGGAGCCCATGCCCATGGCCGTGCTGGAGAAGTACTGTGAGGCCTCCGGACAGTTCATCCGCCAGGTCAGTCCGGCCCGCCCGCCGCCCCCTGGCCCCGGCCCCCCCGAGAGGCCTGGCCTGACCGCCCCCTTCGGCCCTGTGTGCAGGCAGTCGGCATCATCGAGGCTGTCCTGGAGAAGTTCGGCACCTACGAACACTTCGAGGCTGCGACGGGGGGCCAGCTGCTGACCAAGTGCCAGATCTGGTCTATTGTGCGCAAATACATGCAGAAGGAGGGCTGCGTTGGGGAGGTGAGCTTGCACTGCCTTCGAGCACCCCCTTCTCCCTGACCCAAACTGGCCAGACACAGTGGGGTGGTGCCAGGCCCAGCTCCTGGCCAGCGAGGGACCCCTGGCAGGACCCTGTCCCTGCCCTAGTAAGGTGGGAGCTGGCTCTGAGCAGACGTGGTGAATCAGGGTGGGTGTCCTGGCCAGGAGTCCAGGATGGATGCCCTGGGGCATTACTGGTGGATACAACTGCACAGTGGCCATGGCTCCGAGCACTGCTGCTGCCTGCAGGTGGTGGTGCAGCTGAGTGAAGACCTGCTGTCCCAGGCAGTGATGATGGTGGAGAACAGCCGACCGACTTTGGCCATCAACCTGACCGGAGCCCGCCAGTACTGGCTAGAGGGCATGCTTCGGCACGAGATAGGTCAGGGCGTGGGTTGGTGGGTGGGCGGGTAGGGATGGGAGGGGCCTGGGATGTGGGAGGACAACGAGAGGCCCCACCCCTCTCTTTCTCCCACTTACCTTTGAGGCTAGGGCCCTTTCCTTTCACGAGCGGTCCCCTCCTCCCTCTGGCCCTCAGAGGTGGGCCCGAACATGCCTGCCCGTCTCTGGGCTCACCCTCATCCCTCCTTCCTCTTGGGTATCTTTTCCTCCCTCCACCGCCTCTCTGGTTTCCCTGGACGGCAGGGACAGGCTGAGGGGGCCTGGGAAGGCCAGAGGGAAAACACGGAGGGTCTCGCTAGCCCCGCCAACATCAGGCCGTCCCGGGTGGGGATGGAACTGGCTGAGAAGACACAGAGCCGGGTAGAGGAGTGGGTAGGCCGGGCTGGAAAGGAAAGCAGAGGACCCAAACGGATATTCTCTTCTGCCTGTCCCCCCTCCTCATCTAGAGTTCTGTTGCCCTGGGCAAAAGTTGGTTTTTGCTAGGGACATCAGTGGGACGATAGAGCATACAGGATGTGGGGATGGGATGGTGTGTGAGTTCCTGTCCTCTCCAGGGGGCTGGGAAGCAGTGTGAGTTTGGGAGGGGTGTGTGTGTGTGTGTGTGTGTGTGTGTAGTCCTGAATGGGTAGAGGAGGACTCTTGCATGTGACTCTATGGTAAAGTGACCAGAAGTCCCGCTTTTGGCGGGACAGTCCCGATTTTTAGCAATTTTTCCAAAAATCGGGACTTTTTTTAACGCCGCGGGACAAATAGCTAAAAACCAGGACCTCTGGTCACCTTACTCAGTGGGTCCTTGGGTGCGGGTGCCCCTGAGATTGGATGAGTATGTACGCTGGGGTAGGGGTGGCAGGGAGAGGTTATGGGAGAGCCTGCGTTTAGGGGCCTGAGGATAACTGCACGAATATAAGGGACAGGCCTGGCAGAAGGGTTCCGGGACGACCCCTCCCCCTTCGCCCTCCCCCAGGCACCCACTACCTGCGAGGCGTGAACAATGCCCGGCAGCCCTGGCACAGCGCCGAGGGCCGGCTGCAGTACGGGCTGCGGCCGGCGAACCCCACGGAGGAGGGCCTGGCCAGCCTGCACAGCGTGCTGTTCCGCAAGCAGCCCTTCCTGTGGCGCGCGGCCCTGCTCTACTACACCATCCACCGCGCGGCGCACCTGTCCTTCCGCCAGCTCTTCCAGGACCTGGCGCGCTACGTGCAGGATGCGGACGTGCGCTGGGAGTACTGCGTGCGCGCCAAACGCGGCCAGACCGACACCTCGCTGCCAGGTGGGTGCCCGGGTGAGGAGTGCCCTGAGCTGGGGCCGGGGCCGGGGCCGGGGCGTGGCTTCAGGTGTAAGGGGCTCACGGCCCTTCCGTGCCCCCAGGATGCTTCAGCAAGGACCAGGTGTACCTGGACGGCATCGTGCGCATCCTGCGGCACCGCCAGACCATCGACTTCCCGCTGCTGACCTCGCTGGGCAAGGTGAGTGGCCACCGGCATTCGGAGGGTCCTCGTCGCAGCGTTCCCTGAGCCTCTGATGGGTGCCTGACTGAAGACTGGTGCCAGGCCTCTCTGGAGGGTGGGAGGTGAGCACAGGAGGTGAAATGACAGCTGGCAGGCGCTTGACCCAGCCTGCAGGTGCGTGCGTGCGTGCATGCGTGGAGATACTGCATCACTCCAGACCAAAGGAGCAGTCAGAAAGGCTGGAGAAATGGCCAGGAACCAAGTCCCTAGCCACCTAGGTATCTGTGCCAAGCTGAGAAAGGTAAACCGCCTCTGAAGCAATAGGGGACTCAGAGGAGCTTTAAGGAAGTTGAGGCTGGATGTCAGATGGGAGGGGGATTGAGAGAGAGACCTAGGAAAGGGGATGGGGGAGTGAGGCCTTCCTAATCCCTCCTGCAGAACTGATGGTGGCTGGCCTGACCCAGCAGTGGCCGTGCAGCTGGAGGGGGAGGGGGAGGGGCAGGCTGGGGAGCTCTTCAGAGAGGGGGACCCATGGGAGATGGTTTGGGAGTAGAACCTTGTTCTTGCATGAGGTGACTTAGGGTATCTGCTCAGTGGCCACCCTGAATGGGAGGGTGACAGGTTCCAGCCACCCCTCCCCACCTGGAACCTGGCCTAGAGGGCTGTCGGGAGTGCCTGGCATAATCTGACACCTAAGAATTCAGTGTTGGCTATGGGGAGTCTGAGGTGCCTGTGGGATGTCTAGGAGAAAGTGTTCAAAGGCAATTGGGAGAGCTAGGCCGGGGCAGGAGTGGGGTTGTAGGGCCTAGATGATAAAAGAAGGTGTTGAGAGAAAGAGCAAACACCCAGGACTGAGCCTGGGGATACATAGCATTGGGAACAGGTCAGGAGCGGGCAGGGAGGTGTTCCGGGAGCAAGGGGCAATCCAGCATTGGCAGAGAGCTGGGCCCAGCCACCTGAAAGCCGGGGGGCCTCAGCCTCCCCCTCAGCCCAGCTCCCTCCTCCCTGCAGGTGTCCTATGAGGACGTGGATCTCCTGCGGCCCCACGGGGTGCTGAGCAACGCGCGGGTGCCCCACTTCATGCAGGACCTGGAGCGCTACCAGCAGCAGCTGGAGCACATCATGGCCACCAACCGGCTGGACGAGGAGGAGCTGGGCCGGCTGCTGCCTGACTGACACTGGTTGGGGGCTCCAGACCACCACCCCCCTGAACAGGACGAGGGCTGCTCTGAGCCTCCGCAGCCTGGCTGTTTCTTGGGGACGCTGAGGGGACAGGAGCATCTCAGGAGGGAGGAGCGGCACCCTCAGTGGGTTTGTGTTCTCCGCTAGCCTCCCGGACCTAGAGACCAGCAGCAGCAGCATGCTGTCCGGGGAGCAGAGGGAAGCCTGGGGGCAGCAGGGACGCTGAGCATGGATGGGGATGGGGATGGGGATGGTTTGGGAGTAGAACCTTGTTCTTGCATGAGGGGACTTAGGGGATCTGCGTGCTCCAGTCCCCCGTCCCCCACCCGGCCCCTTGGTGCTCCTTCAGCTTCCACGCTGTCTACCTCTCACTGGGTCTTGGTGGGGGTCCCCTTCTCCCGGGGTGATGACCTGAGCCTGGGGTCCTGGCTTTCACACAGACTCAAGGGCCAGGGTCCTGGTCGGTAGAGACCCAGCTGGGCTGGGACGTGCTCTCCGGCCTTTTGCCTCTCCCGCTGCATGTATTTATTCCCCGTTCATGTGCTCTGCTTCCTGGGGCTGGAGGCAGCCGCTTCTGAAGGTTCAGGGACAGGCTCCTCTGGAAGGCCCCCCCTCAGCAGACACACACACACACACACACAGTCCTTCCGGCCTTGTGAACTGAGCCTGAGGGTTCACCAGGCCCTGCCCCTACCCCCACCCCCTCCTCAGGCCTCTGTTGTCCCTGTCTTTGCCCACCCCCCACCCCTCACAGCTGGTCTCTGACAGAGGTTGGCATAGCCTAGCAGCAGCCATAATCAAGCCTGAGGGGCAGACACCTACCTGTCCCAAATCCTGAGCCCCTCCCGGACCAGGAGAGGTGCGCAGAGGGTGGTTGCTTCCAGTTTCACCTCAGACTCGCTGTCGGAGGCTGACCCAGTCCCACTCCCACCCTTGGCCTTGGTGTTCCCATCTATAAAATTTGGAAACGCAGCTGGAAAGCCCTTGTTCATGTAGTGAAATGCACTGAACGCCTTCTGTGTGCCAGCCACTGGCCAAGCCCTCAGAGCTCCCAGCCCTGAGAGAAGCCAGGCAATTAAAGCAACAATTACAATAAGCTGTGCGGGTCTTTGTCTTCCCAAGATCTCCTCCTCCTCCTAATCGCATTTCCCAGGGCCCTCGGCGCTAGCCCTCCCTAAGTGGAGAGAAGCTCCCGTTCCCTGGCTTTCTGTCCCAGGCCCAGTGACAACACCTGCCCAACTGATAAAAGGGCCCGAGTCTGGCCGCTGCGTCACTGGCCACCTGGATTTGGGATCTCCAGGATGCAGCTGGAGCCGTTGGTGAAAGGAGGCTGAGGACTGGGCGGTGGGGCACAGGGGCTCCTCAGGGCACTGACTCAGAGCACAGGTCCATCCATACCTTTATTCCCGGGTCGAGGGCCGCCATCACGGAGCCCAGACCCACCCTCCACAGTTTGTTCACTCCAGCGCACTCGGGGCCAGGTGGAGCCGGGTGGTAATCCAACCCAGGTCCTTTTGGGCTTGGATGGGGAGTGGCCAGTCAGAGCCCTGGCCCTCAGGAATCTAGAAATGAAGGGGGAAAGCGGTTGGTCAGGTGGGGCCCGCCCACTGGCCCCGGGACTCCAACCTCCCGCAAACCTGGCACGGGGTTTAGGCAGCCTGACACCTTCAGATGCATCATCGGCCTCATAATCTGGCTCTGGCTCTGGCTCCGGCTCTGGCTCTGGCTCTGGCTCCTGGTCCGGCTCCGGCTCCGGCTCCGGCTCGGTTTCTGGTTCCAGTTCAGGTTCTGCTTCTGCCTCTGGTTCCGGATCCGTTTGCGAATCCAACTCGGGTTCTTCAGCCCCTTCGGAGGCCTCAGCTTCTAACTCTGTTTGGGGCTCCTCGATGGTTCCGGATTGCCCTGCCTCGGAGCCCTCAGGCCCCCCGGCCTCCTCACTGTGGGAAGGTCCGGGCAGGCCAGGGCACGGGGTCTGGGAGCCGGCTGCCTCCGGCGTCCAGTGGCCTGGGCAAGGAGGGTCGTAGCTGCGATCCCGGTAGCCTGGGTGGAGGTGGGAGAGTCTCAGGCCCAGCTTACCCCCCTGCGGTTTCCTCCGCGCTCGCCCACCTTTGGGGGGGAGACCAGAACGCCGCCCCCGTTGCGCCCCGGCTCTGACTTGGGCTCCGCCCCGCGCGCTCACCGGGGCCCACGTGCTGCCAGTCCCAGGCGGGGTCGGGCGCGCGCACGGTGCGCTGGGCGCAGCGCAGCAGCTCCTGGCAGGCGGCCTCGCCCTTGCCCTGCACCAGCAGCAGCAGGCGGCGCACCCTGCGCTCCGCGTCGGGCAGCGCGTCCAGCGCCTCGTACTCGGGCCCGGTGAGCACGCCCCGCGCCAGCAGCGCGTCCAGCAGCAGCCCCGAGTCCGCCTGCAGCGTCTCCACCAGGCGCTTCCGCTCGCGGTCGATCGTCTCGGACGGCCTCTCCTGCGAGTTGCCCATCGTGGGGGTCCTTGGGGAGGGGTAGAGAGAGGCACTGGGGGTCAGGGTTTCCCCGCCCCTGACCTCTCTCCCTGGGTCCCAGGGAACAGCGGTGGCTGGGGTCTAAGTTCGCCTTAACCTTAATCTCTTCCTCCGGCTTCTCCTTGGGACCCTAACCATCAGGTGTGGCCCTCCTCTCCTCACCTCTCCCAGGACCCTTTACTTTCTGACCGCTCTCCCCAACCAGGATCTCCCTCCTGAGTCCCAGCCGCCTGCAGACACTGCCATGTGTTCAGACTCAGTGTATCCAAACTGACTTCTCTTTCCCAAACCTGCTCCCCCGCCTGCCTTAACAGGCAAAGATCCCACACCCAGCTTGCAAGTCCTTCCCAGTCTCTCTGCTATTTCCATAGCTTTCACCTTCAGCCTAGACCTCAGAGCTCGGACTGGCCTCCTCACCGAGAGCGCAGAGCTGACATCCTCCCCGGCTCCTCTCACCCATGGAGGATGGAGAATGACCACACCCCTTATCCGGACCCTGAGATCCGTCTTTCAGGGCACCCCCTCACCAAGGCCACTACCATGTTGCAACCCCAGTGTGGTCTCATGGCCCTTCCTGGTTTCCTAATCCCTGAGCAGAGAGATACCTGAATTCTCTTTAATCCTAACTCTGACCAAGATCTCCTGGCATCACCTGCATGAGACCCAGCTGTCTCCCTGCCGCCGTGGGAATGGCTCACAGCCACCTCTTGCTTCATCTTGAGGTACCCAGGGCCAAACTAAAAAAAAACAAAAACTACCAACAATTTATTTTTAAATGCTTACCGAACTTTTACTGTTTCCCTCCATGCATCACATGAGAGATTGTTTCTACCAAACAGCAGGTGTCAGGCAGAAATTAATCTGCTGTGTCTACTTATTGGCATCTGAGGACAATGGCCCATCCCCGCTTGGATGGCCGGACCCAGGCAGCCAGGCCCCTGGCATTAAGAGGCAAAGAGGTCAGTCCCTGGACCACTCCCTCAGCCTAGTTCCTCCAGCCTTAGTGTTGTCCTTCCAGTCTCATCCTCCCTCCTCTACCTCCTTACCAGGCTCTAGGGCTGGGAGAGCCTCCCAGGTCTCTCTCATTACCACCTGGTGTCATGCTGTGCCTCCCTGGTCATACTGAAGCGTCAGCCTTTCCCCCAGGTTACTGATCAGAGACTAGGTCTCCTGCCCCCGACCCCTCCTTTCCACTCATGCCCCACCTGTGGCAAATGCTGCTATTCCACCTCTCAGCGAGTCTCTATCGGCACCCCCCCCAAACCCCACCATCTTCACCTCATCTCCTTTGACAGTGTCTCTGAGTGTCTCTCACTCCCATCTCATCACCCCCACAGCACAGAGACTTTCAACAGCTCTCTGGGGCAGGATTGATTGTCCCCATTTTACAAGTGAGAAGACAGGATCAGAGAGACCAAGGGACAGAACAGCAATCTGACTCGCTCCATCCTGAATTACAGTGAGGCCCTCCTGCCAAGCAGAATGTCAGCCCTAACTACCCCTGCTCCCCGCTGCCCATCAGAGAGAATTCAGACTGTCTGGCCTGGCCACTCTCCCACCTCCTGGACAGTGAGGCTTCCCCCCACTTTCTCCAACCCTTAATTAGGAGAACTAATTAAGCCCCTGCCGTTTCTGAACCTTAGTACATGCTATTCCTTAAGCCTGAAATACCCCCTTTCCCTCCCCCCTCCAAGCTGTGGACCCATCCTCCGAGTCTCAAATAAATGTCACCCCGTCCACTCCGATGCCTGAGTGTGTTACAGGCAGACTGGTTTCATCTCTTCTCCTGTGTAACCCAGTGAACAGTGCATGCCCTCAGCACTACACTAGCTGACATCTCTGCACGGGGACCTGGTACCCTTTTCAGCTGAGGTTTCTAAAGACTGTCCTCCAAACACAGGTGCAAGAAGGGAGAGGGGACAGAACCCGGGCTTGTGCAGGTGCAGAGAGGGAGGAGGCAGATCGGCGAAGCCCCTCATTCTTCCTCACTCCTAACCAAGTTACTTTTATGTTAGCCTCCTCCTCCCATTGCCAAGGCCTGTGCTTGGTCCTGTTTGGATACAGAAACCCCCGCTGACCTAGGCCCTCCCTCTGAGACTCGAAGCTCAGAAGTAAATACTGTACCTAGGTTATGCTGCGGGCAGGGCAGTCCTTCAAGGGTCACGGGCCAGATCAGATCCTTCCCGGGCACCAGGAAGCTCCAAGTTCAAGGCCTGGAGGTGGGGGGGGGGGGGTCTCGGCCCCCCTCCCCACCTGGCTCCGCGGGCTCCTTTGCTAGGAAGCCTTTGGCAGGTGCGACCACAGACTCCCCTCCCCTCCCCTCCACCGGGTCCCAGGGTTAGAGGCTCCGGAGGGGCGGGCCTCCCAGACCTGGGAGCACTGCCCGTGGGGGCTCGGATTTTACACGATCTCAGCTTTTCTCCCTCCCCCAGTGGCTCCGTGCGGCCCCACTCACGGCTGAGCCTTGGCGGGGAGATGACACGGCAGAAAGAGCGGGGCGGGCGGGGCTGGGCTGGGCTGGGATGGGAGCAGCAGCTGCCGCGGGGCGGGGGCGGGGCGGCCAGGGCTGCCGGGAACCGGGAGGGGTTGGGGGGAGCGGGCATCTGACAGCCAGGAGCGGCTCTTTGCTGGGGTTCCCACGCGCTGTGGGCCTGGCAACTCCCACGATCAGGCTCAGAGAAGGGGACCAGCTCACCCAGGATCCCAGAGCGGATTTATTGCGGAGCTGGGTGTGCCCACCCCCCCCAAAAGCCCCAAATTCCCGGAGGATCCTGGCCTCAGCAACGGAACTAGGAGCAGGATCCCCAGCATTCCACTCCCCAGGAATGCGTTTCTCCATTAAAGCTCTAGGACCTGGATATTTCTATAGAGGCGAAATCACCCTCCTTCCCCCAGGCCTCTGTGCTCCCCGGTCGGTCGGTAGAGAGAAGAGACCGGAAGCACAGAAACCATGGGTTGGATCTCAAAGGGAGGGTGGGGATAAAAGGGAGAGATCAACCAAAGGACTTATGTGCACACATATGAGCCTAACCAGTGGTTAAGGACAATGGGGGGGGGGGGGCAGGAGTGTGTGGGGGGATTGGAATGGGGGGTTGAGGACAAATATGTGATACCTTAATCAATAAAGAAATTAATTTAAAAAAAACAACAGAAGCACAGAAAAAAAATGCGGTTTATGTGCATAACTTGGTGCTGCAGTGGGAGGGGGCCTCTGAGTAGCAGAGTCTCGGCTCAGCCTCCGCCAGGGGCCGCGGGAGGGCGTGAGGCTGCAGGCAGCCCTCAGCCAGGCTGGCTTCAGACTAGAAGCTCAGGGGGAGGAGGGATCAGCCCGAGGACCCAGGTAGGAGGCCCGGCTCTCAGCGGGGCTGGAAATGGGTTCAGCTCCAGGCAGGCCGAGAGCTGGGCCTCCCAGAGCCGCCTGCGCGTCCAGCAGGAGGGGTGTCCCAAGAGCAGAGTCCTCCCCTAGGAGGAGTGGGGCCGTGCTCAGCAGGGAAGGGGCGCCTCACCCATCTCCCCTCCATTCCGCTAGGGTGAAACTTCCATTCTCACCCCCCCCCCACTCTCACTCACCCAGTGGTGAGGGGATAGATGACTTCAGCAGCTCTCTAGGGGGCAGCCTAAACCCTCAAAGGGTGCCCCCCACAACACAAACTGCCCCACCCACCCAATCATGGTAGTTCTGGTCAACCAGGGCCTGCCCCCAGGTCCTGGGTCACCAGGACCATTACCTGAGCCTGGAGAATTTAACCCCTTGACGGCCAGTTCCGTCTCACCCTTCTCTGGAACCAAGGGCTGCATCTGCATGGGAGAACCCCACAGAAGCAGCCGGGGAAAGGAGAGAGGTCTCCGGCTGAGAGAACAGCTCAGCAACCCCCAAATCCCTGCCCCTTCCACCCCAGTCTTACCAGGGACAGCTCCATGTCCAAGTCCATCAGGGTCCATTCCCGCCCTTGGAGGCTGGGGCCCAGCACCTGGGGGAGCTCTGGGTCAATGGCGCCCCTCCCAGGATGCACTGGGCCGTGCCCCGCTGAAGGTGTACTCACATGCAGGGGCCCCGCAGGCTCCACACCGTCAGGGAGGGCCCGAAGTAGCACTGAAGGCAGCAGGCTCTCTGGGCTCTGGCCCCTGCTCTCCAGGCCCAGAGGCCCCCTGTGCACAGAGAGCTGCTGTTGGCCTGCAGGACCACTCCCCCTCCAATTAGGTTCCCGAGGAACCTGGATACATCAGGGTCTACATCTGACAATATCTAGAAAATGGTATGGAGGGAACCCTCAGAGAGGGGTGCATGGGAGTGCCTCCGCCTCCTAGCTTTGGCCTGAGGACTGGGTTGTAGAGCTGGGGTCCTGGGATGTGTCCCCTCCCTATGCAATTGCCAAAACCAGTGGTTCTTAAACTGTTGTGTATTTTACAATCTTTACAACCACCTCACTGGACTCGGTTAGAATGCAGATTCCTAGGCCCTACCACAGAGATGTTTTCACTTTCCAAGACCTCTGATGCTGGTACTCTTATTATTTTATTTTTAAAAATATATTTTATTGATTTTTTACAGAGAGGGAGAGTTAGAAACATCGATGAGAGAGAAACATTAATCAACTGCCTCCTGTACACCCCCTACTGGGGATGTGCCTTTGACCAAGGTACATGCCCTTGACAAGAATTGAACCTGGGACCCTTGAGTCCGCAGGCTGATGCTCTATCCACTGAGCCAAACCGGTTAGGGCTTATTATTATTATTATTTTAATCCTCACTCAAGGATATTTTTCCATTGGTTTTTAGAGACAGTGGAAGAGAAAGGGAAGGATAGAGAGAAATGTCACCCTGATCAGGGCCTGGGCTGGGGAGGAGCCTGCAACTGAGGTGCATGCCCTTGGCGGGAAACAATTCCCAGATCTTTTGGTCCATAGGCCGCTCTCACCACCGAGCCAAACCTGCTAGGGCCTGATGCCGGTACTCTTTAGAGCAGCTCTGAGAAGTCAGGTCATCTCCTAGTACCCACCATCCTCCTCAGCCACCAGGGGGCAGACAAGGCTGGGAAGTGACAAGGACCTACTTCGTGCCGGTCTACCTGCCAAAGTGGCCCTCAGGGCTCAGAGTCAAGAACGGTTCTCTGCTCACCTGTCAGGTACCTCCCTGGGCCCCCTCGGCTCAGGCTGTGGGGCACTCCTGGGCCCCTCGGGCATGAAGCTCCCTTTCCCGTCCAGGATGGCCTGCACCACAGCCACAGGCAGCGGTGGTGGGGCTGTCACACAGAACCCACACTCGTGTGGGGCCAGGGCCTGGCCAGCCTGGCTGTCCACTCCCGGGCTGGCTGGCTCTTCTTTGAGCAGCGCCTGGCTGTTGTCCCTGTGCCAGAGAAAAGCTTCAACCAGACCCTGGCACTGACCGCTCCCCTGCCCCACAGCCACCCGGACTGCCAGGCTCTCCCCAGAGGGCAGCCCCCGTCTGTCTCTCCTACCTCCTGCCAACGGGGGAGGGAGGAAGCCTGCGGCCTTCAGGGGCTGGAGAGCCTTCTGGGATGTCAGAGATGATGGGGCCCCTGGCCCTGGGAGGACTGCCGAGGCCCAAGGGGGTCTCTGGGAGGGGCTGAAAGTAGAAGGTTAGGCCTAACCCTTCGCCTCAAGCCACAGGGTAAGCCAGAACCCAATCAGCACCCACATGGGCCAGGGCTAAGGGGCACGTTTTGCAGCCCATGCTGGGGAGCCTGGTCTGGGGGTGAGGGGTGGGGGATGGAGGGTGAGGTTGACCTCCATCTTCTCTTTTTTGGGGGGAGAAGGGGGAAAGGAATTGCAGCCCTCCCACTCCACAAGCCCAGCTGTGCCCTAGGGAAGGAAGGAGAAGCAAAGCCCACCGCCTGGATAACGTAGGGGTCCTGCAGGAGGGCACCGGGGAGCGGGCAGGCACTCAGTTTGGCGGGTGTTGGGCATGAGCTCCCCTCATCCGGCATCAGGGACCTGTGCAGGTGACAGGATACGGATTTCAGCTCAGGCCCCACAGTCTGCACCACCTCCCTCCCGCCCTCAGGCCCCAGCAGCCAAGTCAGCAGAGCTGAGGCCTGTTGCCAGGGCATCAGTCACATGCTGAAGGCAGAAGGGGCTCCCCCAGAGGTGGGGGCCCTTTGGGGGTAGAAAGGGGGTAGGACGGACGGGGCATGGATGTTGGGATGCTTTGGGGGAAAGGAGAAGGGGCTGCTGATGTGGAAATTGGGGAATAAGGTCCTAGAGCTGAGGGATCTGAGAGTTGGGTTTTGGTGGTGAAGTTGGGGGAAGTGGGGGAAAGTCATACAAGGGGGGGGGGTCTTGGGGAGATGGCCTTGGGGGGAGGAAGACTGGTATGGGGGTAGAGGGATGAGGATTCTGAGGAAGGGGTTTCTGGAGGAGGAGGCAGGGAAGGTGCTGGATGGGGGGTGGAGGGCAGGTAGGTGTCCCTAGCTTTCTCACTCACAGCTTCCTCTTAGCTCCTGGGTTGCTGGACCCAGCCTGGAGTGGCCCAAAGAGACACTGGATCAGCTGAAGAGGAAGCAAAGAGTTAATTTGCCCTTTGGACCTTGCCCCATCCTAACAAGGCACTTCAGGTGGGCAGAGGACAGGGGGAGTATTCCGGAGTGGGAGAGAGAAGTCAGTCGGTGGGTGGGGGGGAGGAATACCTTGCCCACGACCCGGTGCTGCTGGCCCTGGCTCTGCCGCAGAGTCACCACCTCCCTCCACAAGATCTCGTTCTGCCTGGGAGAAGGGGTAGGAAGGGGCTGAGGCTTCAGAGTTGTCCCAGCCACCACTCCCCGCAGACTGGCAAGTCCCAGCTCGCAGCCACCGGATGATCATCACCCACAGAGAACAGAGTCCCACAGCCCTGCCCACTTTGTCTGGGTGAAGGCGCCAAGACCCGACAGAGGAAGGAGCTGCCTAGAACTTCAGTATCCTCTCCTCCAGACTCCCCGCCCCCCTCCCCCTTTCCCACCCTCCTCCGCGCCACGGACCCCCCTCTTCTCCTCCCCTCCCCCTCCCCATACTGCCTGAGCTCCCGCAGCCGCGCCTCCGCGCTCTCCTGCGCTCCCCGCAGAGCCTGCACCTCGCCCAGCAGCCGGCCCAGGTCCTCGGGGCGCCAGCGGCCGTCCTCACCGCGCAGCGCGGGCGCCTGCAGGGGGAGGCACGGCGGGGCCTGGGTCACATGACACCTGGCCAGCCGTTCCCACCCCCCAACCCCCCGCCCCCCGCCCGGTGCGCCGTCCCGTCCCCGCGGCGGCCCCACCTTGCGCCGCACGCGCTCCAGCAGCTGCCCGCGGCCGCGCACGAAGCTCGGGTGCTGGAACTCCACGCGGTCGCGCTCGGGCCGGAGCAGGCCTCCCTGCTCGATGCTCAGCACCTTCCGGAAGCCGTCTGCGGGGCGGCGGGAGCTGTAAAGGGCCCATCCCCTCCCACCAAGTCCTCCCCCACCACCACCACCTCCCCATTCCCGCTCGGACCCGGACTCACACATGTTGAGCTGCCGGACGAAGCTCGCCATGTTGCTGTGCTTGAAGTACTGGGGCAGCACCTCCTTGGCGAAGCGGCTCTGGTCGTTGACGAGGAAACTGGTCCCGCTCTGCGGAGAGTGCCGCCCTCCCACCCGGGACCGGAGACCGGAGACCGGAGGACACCGTGAGAGACGTCCATGGCGCATACACACACACACACACACACACACATGCACACATACACAGAGAGACATACACACAGACAGACAGACACACACACAGACAGGCACACACAGACACACACACAGACACGCACACAGACACACACAGAGACACACACACACAGACAGGCACACACAGAGACACACACAGACACACATACACAGAGAGACAGACACACACAGAGACAGATACACACACACAGACACACACACACTCACACACACACTCGCTCTGGGACCAGACCTGTCCCTCAGGAACAAGGGATGGGGCCAGGCTAGAGCCAGCCCGAGGCCTGGCCTGGAGGGATCACCATGAACCCCTCTACCCCAGCTGGACCCCGACTCCCCACTTGGCTCTCAGAAAGGAGCTGCTGAGGCCAGACCTGGGTTCCAGCCCCGCACACGGTGCCAGCCTGGTGATGGGACTCTGAGCTAGAACCGGACAGACCCAGCCCTTATCCTCTCCTGGCTTCTGTTTTCCCATCTGCCCGATGGGCTGGTGTGGGAACTAAGCGACCATCAAGATCCTTTTTACGTTTCCAGAAGGCTCCTTCTCTTTCCCCGCCCCGAGGTCACCTCACCTCCACGGCGCACACCCCCTCCGGGATAACCCCCCTGGACCGCTGCATCGAGGAGCCCACAGCTGCCGTCCCGGGCGGGGGTTGGCTGGGAGTGGACGTTCACTGACTCTGGAGGAACCCCGAGTCCCACTGGGGGCGTGAAGGCCCCCCCCAGCCCTCACCGGGCTCCAGCGGATCAGGTGGTCTGTGCTCGGGTCCCCCACCAGCGCCCACAGCTTGCCCAGGAAGGCGGGCACGGGGCTGGGGCCCGGCTCCGCAGGCGGCGCGGCTGGCGCCTCCAGCATGGTGCCTCTCTCCCGGCTCAGGCTCAGCGCTCGGCCGGCGGTCCCGGTCCGGTCAGAGCCCCGGAAAGTGCTGTGTGTGCCGCCCGCCCGCTCCGCCTCCCGCCGGGTCAGCTGGGGGCCACGTGCGCCCGCGGGGCGGGGCTCGCCCGGGCCGCCCCAGCACAGACAGAAAGGGCCGGCTGGGATCCGGTATGTGTAGGGGTGCAGGGGGTTCGGGGGAGAGGGGACCTGGGTTCGAGTTCCACTCTTCTCAGAGCCGCTATGTCTTCCATTTGTCTTTGGAAGCAACAGCCCGGTGCGCGCTGATGAGTCATAGAAAGAGAAGGCCATGGGCACGGGGAAGCCTCAGAGCGGCCAGAGAGGAGCGGAGAAGGGAGGGCGGAGAAGCGGACCCCACCCCCCAATCCTGTGGCTTTGCCGCACCCCTGCCTCCCTCTCGCAGCTGTTTCAGTTCCACGGACCTTGAGATCTCCATCTCTCCCACTCCTCCACCGACCTCTGCAGGATCCCTGCCCTCCCCCTTCAGAGCAGGCCAGGTCTTCCACGGGACGCAGAAGTCCTGCAGGCTTGGTTTATTTCACACTTACTCCTGAGGCTCGGCCTGGCCTTGTGCCCGCTCCTCCCACCCCACCGGGGTGTGGGGAGGGGGTGGGGAGAGGGGGGTGCGGAGCTAGCGCAGCATGCTCAGAGGAGGGAGGTTGGAGGGGGGTGATCCCACTACCCCCGGGCACATCGCGGGGCCATCCTCAGATGTTGAGGCATGGAGGGCACGCAGGGCACCCCTTCCCTCCCTCCCAAATCCTCGAGAGGCACAAGAGTCCTGAAGGAGCAGGTTAGCAGCTGGCGCTCTCTTGGGCAAATCCACCTGGCATCTGAGAGGCCGCACGCCTGCTAGGGGTAGGGGCGGAAGAGGGCTTGCCCCGATCACGCCACACGCGTGGGCCGCCAGGGATGGGGCTCCCGCGTTAGTTTGAGCGTGTAGCTGCGCAGGCGCGGGCAGTGCGCGAGGAAGGCGTGCCGCACGGAGGGCCGCACCACGCAGAAGCAGTGCGCCTCGCGCAGCGCCCCGCCAGCAGCTCCAGCGCCGAGTCCAGCTCGGCCGAAGCGGCGGCGCGCACCTCGAGCACGCGCAGGGTGGCGGCGTAGTGCAGCGCGGCGAAGCGCACGGGGCCCGCGCTGTCCCCGGAGAGGCAGAGGCGCAGCGCGGCCACCGGCACGGCGGGCTGCAGGACGCGCGTCACGCTCTCCGCGGGCATGGCGGGCTCCAGTTCCACCTCCACCACCAGCCCGGGCTGGCGGCGGCGCAACGCGGCCCAGGCTTCGTTGGGCAGAGCGGGGGCCCGTGCGTCCTCGGGGCAGGCGCACCGCAGCGCCAGGAGAGCGAAAGGCGCGCGGCCCGGCGCCGCCAGCACCTCGAGGGCGGGGTGGGACAGGCTGGCCAGGTGCAGGCCGAGGGTGCACAGGCGCGGGCAGGCTTCCAGCAGCTCGAGCACGGAGGCCGGCCCCACGCTGCCCACCAGCGTCCCGTTGTTCAGGAAAAGGCTGCGGAGCTCGGGGCAGCCGCGCGCCGCCCGCAGCACCAGCGCGTCGTCCAGAGTGAAGGGCAGGCGCCGCAGGTCGAGGTGGCGCAGTTCGCGAGCGGCCCGGCAGATGGCGCGCACGGCGTCCAGGACGTCGCGGCCCGCGTCGAAGAGCGGCTTCTCCCCGCGGCACTCCAGGCGCAGGCCTTGGAGTCCTGGGGTCCGGCCCGCCAGCGCGGTCAGCAGCTCCGTGGCCACCCGGCGGCTCGGCTCCTTCGACGGCTCAAATTCCAGCCGCAGATGGCGAATGTGGTCCAGGCAGGTTGACAGAAACGGTGGCAGCATGCCTTCTTGCGCACAGCAGCAACTTGGGGTTAGAGCGGTGGAGAGAAAGCGCAGACTGTGTCCCCCGAGGGCAGAAAGGAAGCCTCTACCCATCCCTCAGCCTGGTTCCAACTGCCTTCCCCTTCTGCCCCCTACCCACAGACCTCCCTGGGAACTCCCACCCTATCCCTTTAGAAGCCTTCAGATGCATCTGACAGAAGTGGAAACTGGCCAGGAGAGCCAGGGTTTTAGGAACTGGCTTTTCTCCGTGGTCTCTAAGGAGACACGCATAGCCACGTCCACATTCCGCTTCTGCTACACCCTAGCGGAGTGACTTGCAGGAAGTGTTGAACTCTTTCGGCCTCAATTTTCTACCTGTGCAATGGACATAATACTGCTATCTACTAATTAACATATGTAAGCACCTATAACAATGGCACATACTGGGCAGTCAATAAACGTTAGTCACTATTATTCTTTTTAATACAGGGAGTCCCTCAATCCCCAGACTCCACGGAGAGAGGGAGAAGACGGGCAGGTGGCAGGAGGAAGGAGGGGAGGAACGGGCTCACCTGATGTCCGTGTCATGCCACACAGCGCTGCAGGCGGCGGCAGCAGCCCAGGCTCTGCAGACCCTGGCGGCGGCAGCGCGGTCCTGCAGGGGCAGGTGGCGGAAGATGAGCGCCAGCACCTCCTCCGGCAGTTGCTCTCCAGGCTCAGCCATTGCTGAGGTGGGGGCTCCCAGCAGCTCTGGCGTGGAGAGAGAAGGATGTCCCTGGGCCCCCAGAAACACCAGAGCCTGTGTGTGGAAATCCCTGTGGCTCAGGAGCTAATACACAATCTGTGGAGCTCGGTGCAACGTGAAAATGCAGTACTCCTTCAAAACAGGTCTCACCCTCAGGAAGTCGGCCCTGGATGCTGAAGGGTTTCTGATTTATTTGCTCATTTTAGAAGCGAAAAGAGAAGAACATCTGATTATCCTTTAAACTATGTTATCACTTATTGGGGGAGAAAAACCCCCATTTTATACAGTATTAAAAGGAAAGCAAGCACGACCTACGTGCCAGGTTGATGAAGTTCAGGTGCCCTGGTCGTAGACAACGCTGTCTGATCTTCCTCCCAGTTACTAGAGTCTTTCCCTAGAGAAGTCGGAAGGCGACTGTATAGGCCCTGACTCTGAACAGCCTGGTCCTCCCCATCCAGCTCAGAGAGCCCCTCTCCCCTCCCCCAGCCTCTCTATACATAACACTCAGAGCTGCCCAGACCGGCCTTCGGGGGTCACGAAACTGCTTCCTTCCCAACTTGGACTCTCTGTACTAGGCAAGGACTGGGCCCAAGCCCTACCTGGAGGGCCACTGAAATGAGGCCTTCTCAGACTGCGAGGGGCCCAGAACCACTCCGACATTTGTTCCCCATACAGAATCGGCGGCCCCATCTACTAAATCAGACTCTCCGAAAGAATAGGGTCCAGGAATCTGAATTTCAACAAGCGCCGGTGGACTCCACAGGCCCCCAGTAGACAAACGCCTCCCTACTAGCCTCGCTGGTCCCTAGAGAGTGACAATAGGGTTAATAGGGCGGGAGCAATAGTGAAGACTTGTGATTGACTGGGACCATAGCCAATCAGGAAGCGGAGGAGAGGGTGGGGCACCGCTGGATCCGCCCAGAGAGGGGAATGCCCTCTCCCTTCCTCCGCTCCCGGGGCAGACGTCCTGGGAGCGTCCAATGAGAAACTAGCGGGAGAAAAGCTTGGGGCTCTGGGTTCAAGTTCCGACCTTGATCCCAGAGCGGCCCAGCCTCCCAGACTCAGCTGGGATTCCCCAGATCCACCCCGGAGCGGAGCGCGGCCTTCCCCCGGAGGGAGGGCGTTGTTGCAAAGTGTGCATCCTCTTTTAAAGCTGCCAGTTTTATATTAAGGTGCTTGAAGGGTTTCCTACACCACGCTTCACATCGCTTGCCAGTTTTCGATTCCCCGTATTTTCCAGACGAACGCTTCCTGCTGGAATTTGCGCGTGTGTCCTGGGAAGCTCAGATACCCTCCTCCATCAGGCTTCAACCTGAGACCCACCGGCACCCCGTGTCTGGGTGTCAGGGAGCAGCAGAGATCAGAGATCACTGAGCTCGGCCCCCCAGAAAGCACCGGAAATTTCTGGTCCCCGGGGGACGCCCCTTGGCTGATCTGATCGGTCTGTTTCCCGCCCGAGGCAGCGGGGCAGCTCCTCGCCCCGGAGCCCGATGGTCCCGTTAGAGCCCTGAGTCCCCGGAGCCCCTCGCCGCCGCGGGCACTGAAGGAAGCAGTTCCGTGACCCCTGCCGTGACCCCTTTTCCTGCCGTCTCACCTCGGACGCCGGGGTCTTACCTGCTCGGGGACCCGGTAGGCCGGGCCCGAAGGCTGGGGGCTCGCGGCGGAGGGCGCTGCGGGGCGAGCAGGGGCCGCGGGGAGCGGGACGGGGGGAGGGCGGGCCGCGGGGCGGACGGGGCGGCTCGGGCTGGGCGCCGCCCCTGCGCCGGGCGCACACCCGGAAGCGGCGCGGACCCGGCGGAGCTGGCGCGGGAGTCCGGGCCGGGCCCGGGGGCCAGGTGGGTGCAGAGGGTCGGCTTCGCGGTGCTGGCGGCCGCAGAGGGGGTCCTGGCTCAGGACCGCGGAGGCGATGAGGGTGTCATCCGCGGCTGCCCCGGCGGGCCAGGCGGTAGCGTGGCCCATGGGGCTGATTACGTGGGAGGCAGGAAAAAGGGTACGGACCTTGGCCCACCCAGGCCCCCTGGCCCAGCTAGGGGCTTCTGAGAGGCCGCAGGTGAGAAGGCGGAGCTGGTGTTGAATCTGTGAGCAGAGATCTCTTGCCCCCGTGCCCACCAGTCGTGCGTGAGAAATCCCAACGTGGGGGGGGGGGGCTAGAAGGAGGTTTGGGGGTTCCCCTGCAGGGCTCCGAAGGGGGCAGCCGAATAGGGGGCGCGCCTGCAGCCTGCATGCTAGGAGTCGCAGGCTTCCAGGCCTCTAGTGTTCACGCCCGCAGGCTGATGCCCCTCACCCGGCCAGAGGGGGCTGTTCCCCCTCCCCTTCCCCTCCCTCACTGTTAGGGTGTGTGAATGGGGCGATGGCCCCTGGTTGCAGGGGTGTCTTTTCTTGAGTCTGTCGGTACCCACGTGTCTCTCGGTCTCAGCCCAGCTCAGCGTTTCCGGGGCCCATCCTGGCCCGGCCCAAAGAGAGGCCGGCTCCGGGAGGGTGGGGCTGGGGCTTCCCGAGGAGGGGCTTCCGTGGAAGGAGGCGCGGGAAGAGTTCCCCGGGGACCAGGAGCCAGGCCCCCGGCAGGCCTGTCTGACTTCCCCATTGGTCCAGCCCTGGGGAGGGATGGAGCCCTGCTCCTCCAGGTTTCCAGTCCTCCTCCTCCTCCCACGGAAAGCCTGCTGGGCGGACTCCGGCTTGTCCCTACCGCCCCCTCCTCCACGTGGGGCGGGGCCACATCCATCCGTGGTGTCTGCACCTTCAAGTCAGGGACTAAGAAAAGATGGAAGAGCAGGCGTTTCCAGGGAAGGTTTTTACACTCTTCTTCTCGCCTGGGTCTCTGCCCCAGGGCTCCCCTCTTGTCTCCCTACCTGGCCTCACTTGTCTCGTTTTGTGTTGTGTTTTTTTAAAATATATTTATTGATTTTTAAAATATATATATTTTATTGATTTTTCACAGAGAGGAAGAGAGAGGGATAGAGAGTTAGAAACATCGATGAGAGAGAATCATCGATCAGCTGCCTCTTGCACACCCCCCACCGGGGATGTGCCCACAACCAAGGTACATGCCCTTGACCAGAATCGAACCCGGGACCTTTCAGTCCACAGGCCGACGCTCTATCCACTGAGCCAAACCGGTCCCGGCTTTTTTCTTTTTAAGGAAAACCAATTAATTTCGCTTTTTTTATTTATTTATTACAAAGGACATGTATTTTGCATGAAGTAGAATATTGCTAAATACAATAACAAATGAACTCCCCCCCCCAAAAAAAAAAATCTCCTCCATTCCCATAGAGCATTGTTTTGGGTAAACACACAAGTATTGATATGTTTTCTATCAAAAGGCTGTTGGTGCGGGGGTGGGGAGCCCAAAAGCCATTTCCCTGTGCTCAGACCCAGGATAGGCCCATCGCCAGGACTGGGGGATGCTGCGTGGCCTCTGCCCAGGGACTGCCCAGGCTTTGGCTCTCCGGGGAAGGTCTGCCCAGAAACGGCCTCCCCAACAACATCCACGCCTCTGGTCCCGGCCCCTTCTGGCATCCCTCCCCTGAGGCTCCTGTCCCTCTGTACACAGATGGCAGCTGAGACCACCCCATCTGGATGCGAGCAGAGCAATGAGTCAGTGCAGGTGCTCACTGGGGCTCAGCACCCAGCCCACCATCCGTAAATGCCCGGGACCAGGGAGCCAAGGCTGATGGGGCCGGAGGTGGGGTCTGAGCCCGTGTTTATAGGATGAGGGTGGGATGTTGCCTCCAGTGAGGCGGGGAGGAAGGAGCAGGCCTGGTGGCACTGTAACTAGGAGGCCACTGAACTGAAGGTCAGCGCAGGGTGGCTCCCTGGTGGGAATTCTGCCCCTGGTCTAGGGCTAGGATTTTGGCATTAGATGGAGGATATACCAGAACCACGGGCCCTGGCTCTCTCTGAGCAGGGAAGGAGTCTGTAATAGAACAATTTCAGTGGCATGAGGACAAGAGCCCAGCTCTGAGAACTAAAAGGAATGACTAGCTCACATAACGGAGAAGTCCGGGTGCAGCTAGAGCCAGGAGCCGGGGGCATGGTGTGCAGCTGGGCACGCACCTCCTCCTCTCCCGGCTCTGTTTCCTTTGTCAGTTTCATTCTCATTCTGGCTCTTCCCAGGCAGTGCCAAGGGAGGGAGACCTCCCCTTCCTTCCAGCTCAGCCCCACGGGAAGAGAAACTAGTGTCTCTTTCCTCTCGGTCCAGCCAAGGTTGCTTGATCTGTCTTGAAATCTGCCCAACTCGGAACTCATCATTTTTTTTTTTTAAAGGGATGGGAGGCATTGCAATGTTTATTTATTTATTTTTAAAATATATTTTATTGATTTTTTACAGAGAGGAAGGGAGAGAGATAGTTAGAAACATCGATGAGAGAAAGCCATCGATCAGCTGCCTCTTGCACACCCCCTTCTGGGGATGTGCCCACAACCAATGTACATGCCCTTGACCGGAATCGAACCCGGGACCTTTCAGTCTGCAGACCGACGCTCTACCACTGAGCCAAACCGGCTTTGGCAGAACTCATCATTTTAGAAAGGTGAATGGAATACCAGGTTGGCCAGACCTGTTTCACAGGCCCACACCAGGAGTTAGGGGGTGGGGTTAGCCCTCCCAACAGGCACGTGGATTAAAGGGAAGCGAGAAGGCCCCCCAAAAGTCCATCAGGATGGGGGAAAGGAATCTGGGCAGGCACAAACTATGGGCATCCTTTGACGTGAAGTCAGAGTGTGCAGTTAGGGATGCAGGGGAGAACACTGCTGTGGTGGGAGGGGGGCTGTGGTCCGAAGCCTCAGGACCTAAGGCAGTGGTCGGCAAATCGCAGCTCTCGAGCCACATGCGGCTCTTTGGCCCCTTGAATGTGGCTCTTCCACAAAATACCACGTGCGGGCACCTAAGTACAGTGCGATAGAAACTTCGTGGCCCATGGGCAGAAGTAGGTTTCGGCTCTTAAATTTCGATCGTTGTACTGTTGATATGTGGGTCTTTTGACTAATGAGTTTGCCGACCACTGACCTAAGGGATCCTGGGAGCTCAAGGTTAAGCTGAGGGCATACCAGGACATGGATCCCGTTGGCCTGGGTACCTCCAGGATGAAGACGTCTCCGGTCAGCTTTGGTAAGAGAGACAATTGGTCTGAGGAAAAGGCATGACTTCTCTGCCTTTCCCCTCTCGCTACTGTGACCACGGGCTCTTCTTCTGAGAAGGCAGTGGAGGGAGGGGCAGTCCTCCCTGCAAAGTTGGGGCTGAGCTGGGCTGGACTCCATGGAGCCAGACACACAGGGGCTTCCTGTGAGATGGTGAGCAAGTATGCCAGCTGGATGGGGACAGCAGGGCCGTGTGGGACGGGATGGGTCGCCTCCAGGGCTGGGTTTGGGGGTGATCCGGATGCCTGTCTGCATCTCCAGGAGGCGAGATGGCGGCTGGGCCCAATGGGCTGGAGGAGTGGGTGGGCAGCGCATACCTGTTTGTGGAGTCCTCGCTGGACAAGGTGGTCCTGTCAGACGCTTACGCTCATCCCCAGCAGAAGGTGGCGGTGTACAGGGCTCTGCGGGCTGCATTGGCAGGTGCGTGACTGGGTCACTTGGTGGGAAAGGGGAGGCTTGTGGTGGGCGGGGCCAGGGGCTAACACCCTCCCAATCCGTTCAACTCTGTGGGCATGTGCCTAACCTCAAGCAGGGAAAAGATTTGATGGCAGGGACTGGTCTGGTTGCTTAGGCTGTCTTCTTTGTTACCCATACGCGTCCTTGGGTGCAGATAGCTAATCTTCGTGTCTGTGTATGATCTACTACTTATGTGTGCACTAACGTCCTCCACTCCCCAAACCGGCCGGATCACTGCTTTCTACTAATCGCACACATCTCTCTCCTCTTTTCCTCTCTCACTGCAGCACTCCTTGCCCCGAACCCCTTCCCAGTAACTACCTTCCAGGGGGGACCCCCTTTCCCATATCAGGGCAGAGGTGACGGGAGACTGAGCCTGGTTGGGGGGGTCCCACTCTGGGGCAGCAGGAGCCGTACTTGATGGCGGCCTAAGACCTGAGACCTCCCGCTCCTTCCCCGCCGGCCCCCTACCCAGATGTTTTGGCTGCCCAGGGCATTCGCCCCCCTCTTTGCTGCCAAGTCTCTCTGCACATCCCTTTTGCCCACCTTAACTTGGGGCTCCAGTGATGGGGCTAGGATGGTACCCACTCCCTGGAATAGGTCCTGGCCTTCATGCTGGTATCCCAATTTTGTTTTCCGGCTGGGAGCTCTGGGGTAACCCCGTGCTCCTAGGCCTGGTGGCTAGGGAGGTTGCTCTGACCATGGGCTTCACCCCTCTTCCGACTGCTTGGAGAACGGGCCGGTTGAGGACCGTCTGGCGCCTGACTGCCCGCCTCCGCAGAGAGCGGGAGCCCTGACGAGTTGCAGATGCTCAAGATCCACCGCAGCGATCCGCAGCTGATCGTGCAGCTGCGTTTCCGCGGGCGCCAGCCCTGCGGCCGCTTCCTCCGCGCCTACCGCGAGGGGGCGCTGCGCGCCGCGCTGGAGGGCCGCCTGGCTGCCTCGCTCACCCTGTGCGCGGTGCCTTTGGAACTGGAGCTGCGCGCCGGCGCCGAGCGGCTGGACGCCCTGCTGGCAGACGAGGAGCGCTGTTTGAGCTGCATCTTTGCCCAGAAGGTGCGGCGGCGGGACTGGGCCCAGAGGTGGGGCAGGGATGCGTGGCTAAGACCCCCCCGCACCGACGCAGCACTCCTCTCCCTAGCCTGACCGGATGCGGGACGAGGAACTCGCGGAGCTGGAGGATGCGCTCCGGAACTTGACTTTTGGCTCAGGGGGCCAGGAGGGTGGCAACGCAGAGGTACCTCCAGCCCCTTCGCAGTCCCTGGCCCCGTCTCCGCCGGAGAAGCCACCGCCAGCGCCACCCTCTGGCCAGACTTTTATGTTCCAGGGCCAGCCCATAGGTGAGGCGCGCTTGGAAAGGCAGAGAGACAGGGGCACCTGGAAATGGCAGGGCGGGAATGGAAGGGTAGCGGTGTGCCCCCGCCCCCAGCTCACCCCACTTTCCACTCCTCCCCTCCCCTCCCGCAGTGAACCGGCCGCTAAACCTGCAGGACCAGCAGACGTTTGCGCGCTCAGTGGGCCTCAAGTGGCGCAAGGTGGGGCGCTCCCTGCAGCGCGGCTGCCGCGCGCTGAGGGACCCGGTGCTCGAGTCCCTGGCCTACGAGTACGAGCGCGAGGGGCTGTACGAGCAAGCCTTCCAGCTCCTGCGGCGCTTCGTGCAGGCCGAGGGCCGCCGCGCCACGCTGCAGCGCCTGGTGGAGGCGCTCGAGGAGAACGAGCTCACCAGCCTGGCGGAGGACTTGCTGGGCCTGGCGAACCCTGACAGCACCCTGGCCTAGGCTGGGTACCAGGCACACAAGGACGGCCGGCCAGTGGCCCAGCCAGGGTTTGGAGCACCCGGATGACTCTAGGGTCCCTTCTTGCTGCTAAGGCTGCCCTGTCCATTCACAGGACTTAACTACCCTCCTGAGTGGAGCTGCTGGGCAGAATGGACTGCCTTCTCCGGGAGTCAGACAGGCACCCGCCATGCCTGCTGGGGTGCCATAGGGGATTCTGCCCCAGATAAGGACAGTGTGTGGGTGCCTCACCGCACCTATCCCACAAGGGGGGTGGGGGGGGGGCTTGTGGCCGGCCCTTCACTCTTCTCTCATTGCACAATCACTCATGAGGCACCTGCTGTGTTTAGGCATCATCCTGGGTGCTACAAATACTTTGGTGAACAAGACAGTTCACACTCAGTATGGGACTCCCAAGTAGTAAGCAACAGTAATAAATTGTTACCCGTTTCTCTTCTTTCCTTTTAATATTTAACTTTTTTAAAAAAACTATATTTTATTGATTTTTTCAGAGAGGAAGTGAGAGAGATAGAGAGTTAGAAACATTGATCAGCTGCCTCTTGCACACCCCCTACTGGGGATATGCCCGCAACCAAGGTACATGCCCTTGACCGGAATCGAACCCGGGACCTTTCAGTCCCCAAGCCGACGCTCTATCCATTGAGCCAAACCGGTTTCGGCAATATTTAACTTTTTGATTTGAAAGAGAGGAAGGTAGAGAGAAACATCCATTTGTTGGTCTACCCATTTATGCATTCATTGGTTGCTTCTTGTATGTGCCCCAAGGATGGAGCCTGCAACCTTGGTTTATCGGGACAAAACTCTATAATCAATTGAGCTACCCAGCCAGAGCATGGTACCTGTTTCTTGATGTGAAAAATATCAGCACTGAGCAGGGGCCTAACCCAGATAGGGCTTAGGCTTCCTGGGAGAGATATGAGTGTGAATAAAGGAGGGTTATTGGCGGGGAGGGTGAGAGAATGGCAATGTCCTGGGGGAGGAAAGAGGGAAAGATGTTAGAACAGAAAGTCTGAGTGGCTGGATCTAGGGGTGGGTGGATTTGCAGAGACAGGCTGGTGAGTGGGGGAGGTAGAGAGCATGGGGTCTGGGATGCCATATTTTACAGTTTGGACTTTATCCCAAGGTCAGTGAGAAGTCTTTTAAAGGATTTCAGGAATGGAGGCCAGACAGCTGGTGAGGATGGAGAGAGAGAGAGAAGCCCAGGCTGGGCCAGTAGTAGCAGAGATGGAGGGAAGGGATGGACACAGAGTTGTTTTGGACAAAGGATAACGGGCCTGGTGGCAATGGAGAAGGAGTGAGGTGAGAGAGGACTCCAGAGTTTCTGCTTTGCAGTTGGATTAAAGGTGAGGCTTCTGCTGAAATGCGGGCGGGCCTCGAGGAGGCGAAGTGCTTGCTCTGTTTGGAACAAGTTGGGCATGATTTTCCTGTAGAACATCCAGGGAGAGTCTAAGGACAGCTTTAGTTTTGAGTTCAGCAGACGGTCAAGGCTAAAGATGCACCGATGGACAGAGCAGAGTGAGTAGGATGGCCCGGGGGAGGCCCTGATGGCCACTGACCAGGAAAGGAGCGGCCCCAAGAGCAAGGAGAAAAACTAGAGTTGGAAGTCAGGGGGATACCCCTGCTGTGAATACCCGGAGGCTGCGGATCAGTCAAGGACAAGGCTCCTGGGTGGGAGGCATTTCTAGGAGAGCCTGAAGCCAGATCTCAGCGGGGTTGGGAGGTGAGGCGGTGGGAACAGAAACAGAATAGCAGGCACCTGAGATGCCTTGATCAGGAAAGTGAGGCTCAGGAGGGAGGGTTTGCTTTTGAAGGGAGAACGTTGGTGGTAAGTTGTCAGGAGCAGGCATAGCCATTGGAAGGAGGATGGTGCTGGGTATTGGTGCTGGTTTCCATAGCCTGTCCTCAGACTTTGGAGCAGAGTGGGTTGGGGTGGGGAGGACTCTGCTCGAGGCTCCTCTGGGACTGAGTTCCAGGAAGAGGGAGCTGGCAGCAGAGCTAGGCAAGGACTGGGCCCTCAGTCTCCACAGTACCTCTCTGCCCACCTGGGCCCCAGATCAAACCCTTTGCTCACTGGCCTACTTCAGGAACTCCCCAACCTGGCCCGCAGAGGCCCAGGCTTGGTTATTTCTACCTGGAGGTTATGCTGGCCTGGGGCGTTAGGGACCTGGGGACTCAGAATTGCCTCTGAAGAGACAGTGCTCACCTGTGAAATTAATGGGTGAAACACAAACACACACACAGGGTTGGCCTGTGTTTTTTTAAAAATATATATTTTATTGATTTTTACAGAGAGGAAGGGGGAGAGATAGTCAGAAACATCAATGAGAGAGAGTCATCGATCAGCTGCCTCTTGCACACCCCCTACTGGGGATATGCCCGCAACCAAGGTACACGCCCCTGACCGAATCGAACCCGGGACCTTTCAGTCCCAAAGCCAACGCTCTATCCATTGAGCCAAACCGGTTTAGGCTAGCCTGTGTTTTTAATAAATTAATTTCACAAGTGAGCACTTAAGTCTGTCTCTTCAGAGGCAATGTGTTTCCAGGATGGATGGGGAGAGAGGCAAGGGAAGACAGAGTCCTGGACTGAATGCCAAAAGACCAGAGGCTGCCTTTTCCTGCCCCCGCTCCCTGAAAAGCAGATTTGGGGATTTTATATCCAGACCAGAACCCACCTCTCCGGGAATTCTCAGAGTTGCTTGCTAGGATCCCTCTCTGAGACTAGTCCCCACTCCGAGACGGCACTTCCCGAGTCGCCTGGGTGGAGCTGAACTCCAGCTGTCCGCGCGCACAGCTGGAGGGTCACGTGGCAGCAGCCCCAGCCCCCCCTCCTGCCAACGCTGCAGCTGGCCCATGGCCGCCCTCGGGACCCTGAGCTGAGCCCGGGAGGCCCCGGCGTCCGGGGCCCTGCCGCTCCCAAGGGCCAAGCGTGTGAGTGTCCGGATCACAAGGACCGACGTGGTGAGTAGAGAGAAGGGAAAGGGATTTGGCCTCAGCGCGGGGAAGGCGGGTGGGGGAGGCTGAGGCTGTCTCTCCCGGCCCGGCCTCGGCGCACCGTCCAGGACTGAAGCTGAGGGTGGGAGCCGGCTGCTTGGATGTCTCCTTGCCCTTTGGGGGTGGGGGGTGGGGGAGATGAGGGGAGTAACGGCGCCCAGAGGAGGGGGAGGAACCGCCGGTAGTTGGGGAAGCTCGGCGGGTGGCCTCCCGCCTGCCCCCTCCCTCGGGGAGGCCGGGCCCAGAACCCAGACAGTCTCTCCGCAGGGGGCGCGGGCGCCGGCCACGCGGACATGCGGCGGAGGCTGCGCCTACGCGGGGACGCGCTGCTCACGCTGGTCCTGGGCGCCGCCCTCAGCCTCCTGCTCTACGCGCAGCGCGAGGGCCGAGCGCCCACCACCCGGGCGCCGCGGGCGCAGGGGCGGGCGGCTCGGGGGCCCCCCGCCCGGCTCCGGGTGTTCCAGGCGCCGCACGCGGGCGCGGCCCTGCCGGCCTACGAGGCGGACACGCCGGAGCCGCCCACGCCCACGCCCACGGGGCCCTTTGACTTTCGCGGATACCTGCGTGCCAAGGACCAGCGCCGCTTCCCCCTGCTCATCAACCAGCCGCACAAGTGCCGGGGCGACGGCGCGCCGGGCGCGGGACCCGACCTGCTCATCGCCGTCAAGTCGGCGGCGGCCGACTTCGAGCGGCGACAGGCCGTGCGCCAGACGTGGGGGGCCGAGGGGCGCGTGCGCGGGGCGCTGGTGCGCCGCGTGTTCCTGCTGGGCGTGCCCCAGGGCGCGGGCTCAGGCCCCGCCGGAGCCGAGGGGGCCGGCTCCCCAGCGCGCTGGCGCGCCCTGCTGCGTGCGGAGAGCCGCACCTACGCGGACATCCTGCTCTGGGCCTTCGACGACACGTTCTTCAACCTGACGCTCAAGGAGATCCACTTCCTGGCCTGGGCCTCGGCCTACTGCCCCAACGTGCGCTTCGTTTTTAAGGGCGACGCCGACGTGTTCATGCACGTGGGGAACCTTCTGGAGTTCCTGGCGGCGAGGGACCCGGCGCAGGACCTGCTGGTGGGCGATGTGATCGTGCAGGCGCGGCCCATCCGGGCGCGAGCCAGCAAGTACTACATCCCGGAGGCTGTGTACGGCCTGCCCGCCTACCCGGCCTACGCGGGCGGCGGCGGCTTCGTGCTTTCGGGGGCCACGCTGCGCCGCCTGGCCGGCGCCTGCGCCCAGGTGGAGCTCTTCCCCATAGACGACGTCTTCCTGGGGATGTGTCTGCAGCGCCTGCGGCTCACACCGGAGCCTCATCCTGCTTTCCGCACCTTTGGCATACCCCAACCTTCTGCCGCGCCACACCTGCGCACCTTTGACCCCTGCTTTTACCGGGAGCTGGTTGTAGTGCATGGACTCTCGGCCGCTGACATCTGGCTCATGTGGCACCTACTGCATGGATCGCCTGGGCCGGCCTGTGCGCACCAGCGGCCTGTAGCCGCTGGCCCCTTCCAGTGGGGCCCGTAGTAACCTATCACAGACCCCAGCCCCACTCATTCAGATGCCCCTACTTGGGAGCTGATCTGGAACCATGCAATGACAAACCTTTGGGAGTAAGGGGGATGGTGTGTGTGGAAGTGGCAGGGACTCGTGGACTCTGACAACACAACTTGGTTTAAAACCCCGAGGATGCACACACAGGCCTTTCTCATAGCTAGATCCCACAAGGAGGGAAGCTGGCAGGCATGCTGTTAAAACTCAATCTGAAAGTAGGCATTTTGCTTCCAATCTGTCCCTCCAGATTGTATTTTCAGCCTTGTCAAGGTTGTTAGATCTCCTTTTGAGGAGACACCCACTTCCTGGGCCCTGGTTTGGTTGCAACAGCAGGGGCCGAGGCACACAGGGTCAACTAAGTCTTTCCCCACCTCCAACTACCCTGGGCACAAGGACCTATACCCACACAACTAGGGCAATCTCCTGGAGGCTGGATTTTTTTTTTTTTTTTAAGGCTGTATTGCCCCTTCAGAGGAGCCAAGGAACCTCTTCTAAGATGACTCCGCTATTCATTTTCCCACATTCTAAAAAAAGAGAAAGTCAATGACCCCACACTTATTTTAGTACAAACATCCCGGCAACAGCACGTGGTGAGCCATTGCTGAGGGCATAGGTCTTTATTGGAGGTGTGGGCCGGACATGAGGAAGGTTCCCCCATTCCAGGAGGATGAGATCAGTCCTGGCTGACCCAATAGTGGGGCTATGTGGACTGGGGGTGGGGGTGATGTCTCTGGCCAGGCTACAGTCCAAATGGGAAGACACCAGTCAGTCACAAAGTCATGAGAACGCCACACAAGCCTGGATGGAGGCCCAGGAATCATACAGGAACCTGGGGCAGGTCCCCTGCACATTCATCGTTAAACTATACAGGATGAGGCTG